CCAACTACCACCGCATAGAGCCTTTGACTGTCAAATCAATTTGCTCCCTGGGGCACAGCTCCCTGTGGGCAAGCTGTACGCCATGTCAGACAGAGAGATGCAGGAGCTAAGAGAGTTCATTGACAAGAACCTGAAGAGAGGGTTCATCAGAGAGTCCAGGGCGGTGGGGGCAGCCCAGTGTTTTTGTGGACAAAAAAACACGAACAAGCCGAGACTGGTGTGTGACTTCAGGGCCTTAAATGCAGTGTCAGAACCAGTGGCCTTCCCGATGCCCAGGATTGACGACATTTTGACAAGGGTGCGAAAGGGAAAGATTTTCACCAAGCTGGATCTAAGGGGGCGTACAACCTGATACGAATAAGGAAGGGGGATGAATGGAAAACCACCATGTTCACCCCTTTAGGGGCATTTGAATACTTAGTTATGCCCTTCGGTCTACAAGCAGGCTCCGCAACATTTCAATCGTTTATGAACCACGTCCTGGGGCCGTTGCTTTACAAGAATTGTGTGGCCTTCTTAGACGACGTGTTGGTGTATTCTGAGAATGAGGAGCAGCATGTGAGAGACGTCAGAGAAGTGTTGAGCAGGCTGCAAGCCAACCAGCTGTGGGTGAAACTGGAGAAGTGTCAGTTTCATACCAAGGAGGTGGAATTCCTGGGGTATCGCCTGTCTGACAAGGGGTTGGCCATGGATCCCGGCAAGGTCCAGGCGGTACTGGAATGGAAAACACCCAAAACAAGGAAGGATGTGCAGAGGTTTTTAGGGTTTGGGAACTTCTATCGTAAGTTCATCCCAAACTTTGCCCACCTGACGGCGCCCATTACGGACTGTCTCAGCAGTAAGAAGAAGTTCGTTTGGACGGAGGAGGCGGAGCAAGCATTTGAGGAACTAAAAGGGCCTTCGCCTCGGAACAACAGCTCCTGCATGTGGATTTACAAAAACCGATGAGAGTGGAAACTGACGCATCAGACAGAGCGGTTGGGGCGGTGCTTCTCCAGCCAGGGAAGGAGGAGTCAGAGTGGAGACCGTGTGCTTTTTTCGCGAAAGCTGAACAAATCCGAGAGGAACTACACGGTGTATGACCGAGAACTACTAGCCATTCATGAGGCGTTCCGGAGATGGAGGCACCTGCTAATTGGCGCACAACATAAGGTGCAAGTGTGCACTGACCACAAGAACCTAGAGTATTGGAGGACGGCACGAGTGCTCAACCAACGGCAAGTGAGATGGGCCCAGGAATTCTCCAAATTTAACTTTGAGATTTGTTACGTGCCAGGCCCAGAGAACATTAGGGCGGACGCTCTCTCACGCAAACCTGAATATTGGGAGGTGGTGGGATCACCCGAAGAGAGACATGTCATTCCAGAGGACCGCTGGGTGTGTGGGGCGGCATTGGTGGGACAAAGAGAACTGGTAGAAGAAACAGAGAATGATGAATACGCCCAGAATAAGCTCAGAGGTCTTAGGGATGAGGAGAGGAATCAAGGGGTTTCGAGGAAAGAAATGGAGCTTTGTATTACAAAGGGGCACTGTATATCCCTGAAGGAGACTTAAGGGGAGGGTACTCAAGCAGTTGCATGACAGCCCCACGGCGGGCATTTTGGGCAACACAAAACCATGTGGTTGGTCACCAGGGAATTTTGGTGGCCTAAGGTGAGGGAGGATGTACGTGAGTATGTAAGAGGGTGCGAGCAGTGCCAGCGAGCCAAAGGGGAAAGGCGGGCGCCGGCGGGGCTATTAGAACCCTTACCAACACCAGAACGACCTTGGGAGGCAGTGTCGATAGATTTTATGACTGATCTGCCGAAGTCCAAGGGAAAACAGCCATCATGGTGGTGGTAGACCTACTAACAAAGATGTGCCACTTTGTAGCTTGCTCGCATGCAGTCACGGCGGAAGAGACAGCGAAGTTATTTGTAGAACACATTTTTAGGTTGCACGGGGTGCCATTGAGGGTGGTCTCAGACCGAGGAAAACAATTTACTTCCAGGTTCTGGAGGAAGCTCATGAGCTTACTGCAGGTGGAGGTCAACTTTCGACTGCCCGGCACCCTGAAACCAACGGGCAGGCGGAAAGAGCAAACGGTGTCCTCCAGCAATACCTGAGGTGTTATGTCAATGACAGAGAGAATGACTGGGTAGAAAAGTTGGCGCTGGCGGAATTTGCCTACAACAATGCCGAGAATGTGTCCACAGGGATGAGCCCCTTCTTGGCTAATTATGGGTGTCATCCCAGGGCTTTCCCAGGGGAGATGGGGAGAGATGGAGCGTACCGGCAGCCGAGCATTTTGTAGAAGAAATGGAAGCAATCCACCGTCAGCTCCAACTCAACTTAGAAAGGGCGAAGGAAGAATACAAGAGGCAGGCAGACAAGAACCGAAGGGAAGGTGAAACCATAAGGGTTGGAGATAGGGTGTGGCTGTCAACCCGAGGGTTGCCGTTCAAAGGAGGTTGTAAGAAATTACGACCCAGGAGGTTGGGTCCCTTTGAGGTCATTCAACAGGTCAACCCAGTGGCTTTCAGGCTCCGGTTACCCAACCACATGAAACTGCACCCAGTATTTCACAGGTCGTTACTGTCACCGTACGAGGGGGGACGAGAAGGGATGGACACTCGGGGACCGGTCATAGAAGAAAGAGAATGCAGCAGTCATGTGGCAGAAATCCTTGATGCCAGGTGGAAGGGGAATCAGGTGGAGTATTTGGTAGCGTGGGAAGGAGAACCGGAGTCAGAAAACACGTGGGTAATGGCCAAAGATATCAATGACGAGGTATTGATAGAAATGTTCCATCAAAGGTTCCCGCGGAAACCTCAGCCTGTGGAGAGGTTCCGGAGGGAATACTTTGGGACCACTGAGGAGGAGGAGGAGTTGGAAGGATTCCCAGAATCGGAAGGGGAAGGGAGATGGACTCGGAGGAGGAGGAGTGCTTCGAGACCAGGAACCGCAACAGGTGGAGAGAAGTGTTCGAGACATCGGAAGATGAAGGAAGTTCATTCCGGGGTTTTGCCTCCTCACCGCCCGTAGAGGAGGGGGCGAGAGGGGGTGAAGGGGGCCCTGGAGGGGAGGTGGATGTCAGGGAACTGCCATCGGAAGGAAGGGAGGTGAAAGGACTCAGACAGGTTGGAAGAGATTCAGCAGCTGAAGAGGGAACCAGCAAGGGGAGAGAAGCTGAACTGAGGGAGGTGAAAGGGCTCAGACAGGTTGGAAGAGACTCAGCAGCGGAAGAGGAAACCAGCAGGGGGACAAGCTGAACTGAGGGAAAGGGAGCTGGGGGGATGGCTCAGAGATACTTCCAGCGAAAACAGTGGTGAGGTTTCCGGACCTCCTGTAGCGACACCCACTCCTCGCCGGAAACTGTCACGCAGAGAGTCCAGAAGACGTGTTTCCGTTAAGGAGCTTTTATGTTGGAAGCGATTACGAAAGCAACCACTGTCGGAATCTTCTAGTGACTAAGAGGAGCCATGTCAGAGGGGCTCAGTCACAGACAGAGGTTTGTGGACTTGAACAAACTCTGAGGGAATACGATTTTACGCACAAGCAGCTCATAATCCCATCACAGTGGGTTTATAAACGTTCACTCCAGGAATACTCTTGACAATGACAATACGTCTTCCCAGATGTAGATTTTGTACCGCTTTGATATAAACCTGCTGAGAATCCTTTAAGACTATGTCTTTTGTCAGAACCACTAACTATGAAAGAGTCCCTGCTTTCTCCATAAAAAAAGAAAGAAAGATACAATGGGATTTTTCACAACTTTCTCCCTATGGAAGGTTTTGTTCTTTAAATATTCAGACAGATTTTTGCTTCCTAACCTATTCTCCAGAGGTGTAGATATTTGCCATTTACTTCAGAATGAGAACAAAAAAGACCTTTTGACATGCATAGTTGTTCCAGGACTAGAGCTTATGACAAAATGTATTTTTAGAAAATCTAAATGTTATCTTAGTAAAGAGAGAGAGAGAGTATTAAAAACGTGAAGCGAGCTTTTGGTCCCTGTCCTATTGCAGTGACTTCTGCAGTCTTAATATGATATATTATATTATGTATCTATTGTATTAGGAGGGTCCATAGCTGGAGATGCCAGGGATTGAACCTGGCGCTTAACAACTTGGGTCCAGGATACTTCAAGGACTGCCTAATCTTGTATATCTCTGCCTGATCACTGAGGTCTTTGGGGAGTCACTGTTAGTGCCCGCCCTCCATGGTTCAGATACAAAGCTAGTATCCAACAGTTGTTGTGTGTTCAGTGTTGCGGGTCCAATTTTGTGGAACTCCCTTCCAGTTGAGATCAGACAGGCTGTTGAGCTTTTGGTACACATGGAAGACTTTGATTTATTCCTGCAAGCCTTTTAGCTGAAGTTCAATTTTATCATGTTAACCAATTTTTACCTTTTATGTGTTTTATTTCATGTACACCAGCTGGGGATGATTGTACTCAAGTGGTATATAACTTGTTTAAGCAAACAAATTTAAATAACAGGCTTAGTGCTCACCCACAAAGCAGAATCTGCCCCTACCTTCCTTACTCTGCGGTAGATGGGGACTGCATTCTGATGGACCTATGTAGGGCCATTGGCTCAAGGCAGCTTGCTGAGTTTATTTAGCAAATGGTCCTGGTGTGGCTTGAACTGTTTTGCACGTAGGCTCTCATACGAAATTAATAGAATTGATTAGCTACAGTATCTGACGGCTCAGGTCCATGCTAAGCAGGAGAAATGTATAATATTCTAAAAGTCAAAATCCTGAAATGTCACTTCACCACTCTGAGACCAAATAATCTATTCACCGCATTAAGTAGATTGTACAGTGAGCAGCATGATAAGCCGACTTCGTTGTTAGCACAGTAATGAAAGCAACAGACCATGACAAGGTTAATCCCTACCATTAGGAGTTACTCTAACACACCTTGTTGATGGTAATAAAGCCTCTGCACTGTAGTTTATTAAGCCTTTTATAAAATAAATGCTTAGCTCTCACCCAAATGTTACCATTGCTGCTCAGTCTCTTTGCAACAGTAGGCCTTCAGGGAGTCTTGGGATCATCCAGCCCAGTCCTAAGTACTGGAAATTAAAACACAACAGTGATTTGTGCTGTTCAAAACATGGACTTTCTTCATTCCTGGGAAGTATGGTAAGGCTGCTTCCACATTAGGGCCCTTAACCACTGCTGAGACATTGCTTCTCTATAATCGGAAGGAGAATGGAAATGTCCCAGCGTTTAATATAGCTGTATATTATGCCGTAACATGAGAGACTTATTGGCAAAGAACCTTCTATAATATTTATTCAGAAATAAGGCCTGTTCAGCAAAGGTTAGCCAAGCCAAGATGGTTCTATGTTACTTCCAGTGGCCACTGTGAGAATAGGATACTGGACTAGATGGGCCTTGGATCTGAAGCAACAGGGCTCTTATTATGCTATCTTTAATTTGAAGCTGCCGTTAATTTGAAGCAGCTACAGGAGAGCTATGAGATTCAAGTGAGGGTCAGATGCCTTGTCAATCCCAGCAGGTATATAAGAGGACGACCCGGCCTGTGGCCTGCCCAGCTTTCTACAGCTTTAGCCCTTCCCCCAGTACGTCACACAACCATGCACCCAGGAATGAAAAGAACAGTCAAAGTGCCCATGTGGACTAACTCTAACTCTTAGTAATCTGCTCTTCCCTAGAATTTCCCTGTACTTTGTACTCTCAGTGATATCATGCTTCTAACACACATTACAGTCATACCTCGGGTTACAGACACTTCAGGTTGCATTTTTTTGGGTTGCGGACCACCGAACCCCGGAAGTAGCAGAACGGGTGTTGTTGTTGTTTAGTCGTTTAGTCGTGTCCGACTCTTCGTGACCCCATGGACCAGAGCACGCCAGGCACTTCTGTCTTCCACTGCCTCCCGCAGTTTGGTCAGACTCATGTCTAGCTTCGAAGACACTATCCAACCATCTTGTCCTCTGTCGTCCCCTTCTCCTTGTGCCCTCCATCTTTCCCAACATCAGGGTCTTTTCCAGGGAGTCTTCTCTTCTCATGAGGTGGCCAAAGTATTGGAGCCTCAGCTTCACGATCTGTCCTTCCAGTGAGCACTCAGGGCTGATTTCCTTAAGAATGGATAGGTTTCATCTTCTTGCAGTCCATGGGACTCTCAAGAGTCTCCTCCAGCACCATAATTCAAAAGCATCAATTCTTCGGCGATCAGCCTTCTTTATGGTCCAGCTCTCACTTCCTTTATGGTCCAGCTCTCACTACTGGGAAAACCATAGCTTTTACTATACGGACCTTTGTTGGCAAGGTGATGTCTCTACTTTTTAAGATGCTGTCTAGGTTTGTCATTGCTTTTCTCCCAAGAAGCAGGCGTCTCTTAATTTCGTGGCTGCTGTCACCATCTGCAGTGATCATGGAGCCCAAGAAAGTAAAATCTCTCACTGCCTCCATTTCTTCTCCTTCTATTTGCCAGGAGGTGATGGGACCAGTGGCCATGATCTTCATTTTTTTGATGTTGAGCTTCAGACCATATTTTGCGCTCTCCTCTTTCACCCTCAATAAAAGGTTCTTTAATTCCTCCTCACTTTCTGCCATCAAGGTTGTGTCATCTGCATATCTGAGGTTGTTGATATTTCTTCCAGCAATCTTAATTCCGGCTAGGGATTCATCCAGCCCAGCCTTTCGCATGATGAATTCTACATATAAGTTAAATAAGCAGGGAGACAAAATACAGCCTTGTCATACTCCTTTCCCAATTTTGAACCAATCAGTTGTTCCATATCCAGTTCTAACTGTAGCTTCTTGTCCCACATAGAGATTTCTCAGGAGACAGATGAGGTGATCAGGCACTCCCATTTCTTTTAGAACTTGCCATAGTTTGCTATGGTCGACACAGACGAAGGCCTTTGCATAGTCAATGAAGCAGAAGTAGATGTCTTTCTGGAATTCTCTAGCTTTCTCCATAATCCAGCGCATGTTTGTAATTTGGTCTCTGGTTCCTCTGCCTCTTCTAAATCCAGCTTGCACTTCTGGGAGTTCTCGGTCCACATACTGCTTGAGCCTTCCTTGTAGAATTTTAAGCATAACCTTGCCAGCGTGTGAAATGAGTGCAATTGTGCGGTAGTTGAGTATTCTTTAGCACTGCCCTTCTTTGGGATTGGGATGTAGACTGATCTTCTCCAATCCTCTGGCCACTGCTGAGTTTTCCAAACTTGCTGGCATATTGAGTGTAGCACCTTAACAGCATCATCTTTTAAAATTTTAAATAGTTCAGCTGGAATACCATCACTTCCACTGGCCTTGTTATTTGCAGTGCTTTCTAAGGCCCATTTGACTTCACTCTCCAGGATGTCTGGCTCAAGGTCAGCAACCCCACTACCTGGGGTGTAAGAGACATCCATATCTTTCTGGTATAATTCCTCTGTGTATTCTTGCCACCTCTTCTTGATGTCTTCTGCTTCTGTTAGGTCCTTACCACTTTTGTCCTTTATTATGGTAATCTTTGAACGAAATGTTCCTTTCATATCTCCAATTTTCTTGAACAGATCTCTGGTTCTTCCCATTCTGTTGTTTTCCTCTATTTCTTTGCATTGCTCGTTTAAGAAGGCCTTCTTATCTCTCCTTGCTATTTTTTGGAAATCTGCATTCAATTTCCTGTATCTTTCTCTATCTCCCTCGCATTTTGCTTGCCTTCTCTCCCCCGCTATTTGTAAGGCCTCATTGGACAGCCACTTTGCTTTTTTGCATTTCCTTTTCATTGGGATGGTTTTCGTTGCTGCCTCCTGTATAATGTTGCGATCCTTCATCCATAGTTCTTCTGGCACTCTGTCCAGCAAATCTAAATTCTTAAACCTGTTCCTCACTTCCACTGTGTATTCATAAGGGATTTGATTTAGATTGTATCTTACCGGCCCAGTGGTTTTTCCTACTTTCTTCAGTTTAAGCTTGAATTTTGCTATAAGAAGCTGATGATCTGAGCCACAGTCAGCTCCAGGTCTTGTTTTTGCTGACTGTATTGAGCTTCTCCATCTTTGGCTGCAGAGAATATAATCAATCTGATTTCGATGCTGTCCATCTGGTGATGTCCACGTGTAGAGTCGTCTCTTGTGTTGTTGGAAAAGCGTGTTTGTGATGACCAGCTTGTTCTCTTGACAGAACTCTATTAGCCTTTGCCCTGCTTCATTTTGCTCTCCAAGGCCAAACTTGCCAGTTGTTCCTTTTATCTCTTGGTTCCCTACTTTAGCATTCCAATCCCCTATAATGAGAAGAACATCCTTCTTTGGTGTCACTTCTATAAGGTGTTGTAAGTCTTCATAGAATTGGTCAATTTCAGTTTCTTCAGCACCAGTAGTTGGTGAATAAACTTGGATTACTGTGATGTTAAAAGGTCTGCCTTGGATTCGTATCGAGATCATTCTATCATTTTTGAGATTGCATCCCAGTACTGCTTTTGCCACTGTTTTGTTGACTATGAGGGCCACTCCATTTCTTTTGCGGGTTTGTTGCCCACAGTAGTAGAAATGATGGTCATCTGAACTGAACTCGCCCATTCCTGTCCATTTTAGTTCACTGATGCCCAGGATGTCAATATTTATTCTTGCCATCTCATTTTTGACCACATCCAACTTACCCAGGTCACTCGTTGTTACTAACTCAGAGAAGGTTTGGGAACCTTCAAGCTTCCAAGAGGTCCAAAGTTTAACCTCAGAGGATGCTGAGCCATGGTTAAATGCCATGAAGGCTGAACTTGATTCCTTAGAGAGGAACAAGACTTGGGAACTAGTTCCAGGCCTGCCCAGGCCACAAAAGGTTTACAAAGTTCAGTTATTGCAAAAGTTTTTCAGTGTTAATTTTATGCATTTTTAAAAATCACCATGGTATTTAACAATAATATCTTATATCCTTTAGAGGAGAAATAGTGAATTGTAGAATTTTAAATACCCATCATCATCCTTGGCTTCACTCAATTTTGTTTATAACACACTTCCATTTTCTTCTAGTTGTGAGGGTGGGGGATGGGGAGGGGCCTCACAAGTGGAGTAGCCTAGGACCTCTCTGCATCTAAATCCGGCCCTGGTTGTGAGCTACTCAGATTCACATTGCTGTAGCAGGAAGGGTTGAAACACGTCGCCTAGACATAGTTCTGTATGAATCAGCTTAAATATAGATCAGATTCCCTTAAAACATCCTGCCAAGTAGCAAGAAGCCTCTGGCTATAATAGATTTTCTGCTGATTTACACCTGCCTAAATTTTCCCAGCCCAAGATGTGGTAAGATATAGCAAATACATAGAAACAAGATACTAATTTGCATAAATGCCCACCATTTCATGCAAGGCACTGTAAGCATTTCATATTCAAACCAGCAAGCAGAGGGTTGATAGCGAATGCAAGCAATTATCAAGGGTCCTCAAGGGCAGTCATGGTTTGGGTTTTCCTGGTTTAAAAACAAACACACATGCAAAAAACTTTCCTTTCTTGATTTAGGCTTCACTGTTTCTGCCTGGGAAATTGTTATGCAGGACTTGAGGAGCTGTTGAAAATTTCATGACATTTGTACTTGAAAGGCATTAAAGGTAACAGCATAGGTTTCCGAACATACCTTGGATTAAAACCCATTAGTGTCACAGCATACGTATGATTCATACAGGACTATATTCTAGTGCCTTGTATGATTCATGGCATACTTACTTGTGGCAACATGCAGAGCAGTTAATTACTGTTTTGCAGCAGTGTGTGTGTGTGTGACACTGATTTTTAGAAAAGGATTTAGGAGCTGTGAGACAGCCAGGTGTGTCCCCCCCTTTTTTCCCTGAACAACTCTAATGTATCCAGAAGGAATACACTTGAAAAGTAACCATAATGAGTATTTATTTAGATGTATTTAAAACACACACACCATAATTTCCCTTTCTGTTTTAAAGCTGCACATGTAGGTCTGAGGCATAGCTTTTTATTATTATTCCTACAACAAGACTTCAATTGTCTGTACATTTGGAAACAATTACCCTGTTTCATGTGGTAATATTCCGAGGCTATCCCCAGTGTAATTTGAATATCCTATTGGCCGTTTGCAGGGGATTGCACTGAATAAAGGTTTGAGTCACTACAGAATGCTTGAATATTATAATGGAATATATTTATATATCTACTGCAGATGAGGTAAATGTTTGTTGTAGTCAGTTTTATGGGACTTGAATCCCAACTGCAGACTTACCATTGATGAGTGTAACGTAAGGACTAGCCAGATACATAAAGATGTTCTACCTCCACTGTCGGAGGCAGTATGTCTCTGAACAGGTAAAAGGTAAAGGTAAAGGACCATTGGACGGTTAAGTCCAGACAAACTTGACTATGGGGTGCGGCACTCATCTCGCTTCAGGCCAAGGGAGCCAGCGTTTGTCCTCAGCTTTCCGGGTCATGTGGCCAGCATGACTAAATCGCTACTGGCGCAACAGAACACCATGGTAAGTGCCAGCATGCACGGAAATGCCGTTTACCTTTCCGCTGCAGCAGTACCTATTTATCTACTTGCGCTGGTATACTTTTGAACTGCTAAATTGGCAGAAGCTGGGACAGAGCAACGGGAGCTCACCCCATCACACTGAACTTGAACTGTAGACCTTGCAACCGGCAAGTCCAAGAGGCTCAGTGGTTTAGACCACAGTGCTGCCCGCTCTGAATGCCAGTTGCTGGAAATCACAAGCAGGGAGAATGCTGTTGTGCTCAAGTCCTGCTTACGGACTTCCTACAGATGCTGGGCTACATGATCCATTGCCATGATCCCACAAGTTCTTATGCTCTTATGAGTAGTTCACATGTCAACTGTACATGTGGCCAACTGCTTTTTTCTTTTTTCTTTTTTGCTCATGTATAAGACAAGGGAGAATGCAGCATGGCATAAACAATATTTTTTATGCAACATGGAGCAACAGTGTGCAAAATCACATTTTGCACTCATGATGAGAGACAGGTCAGATGAACCACTGATGTGCAGAATACAATCTAGGCTGAAAAAAATAACTAACTCCATGTGCAGCACCTACAACAGTAGCTTTAACTTATATTAGCCCATAGATCACATGTTCAATCATTTACAAGACCAGGAGCTACAGGAAGTTCCAAAATGTTATTACCTTGTGGTGGGGAAAATGTGGTATATGGAACCGTTTACTATAATTGGGATCTTTGCTGTATTTGTAAGCAGGAAGAATCCTGGTTGTGTGTTATGGTGATGTAAACTCAGTGGCCTCCTTCAGATGTCATACTAAACTATAGCAAGATGCCCAAACATGGCCAATATGTGCAGTAGCTAGCTAAGAATTTGTTCAAAATGCAAACTCCCACTGTCCCTGATCCTAGCCAATGCACATTCATCTTCTGTACACAACATATACATGTACATGTTCCAAGATATAGATTGTGTGAAATGCACCCACACATGTGCAATTTTTATAAGTGATGGGTCAGTACAGATGAACATGTGAAGGTTGCGAGTGATGACAGCAGGTTCAGTTCTGACCCCCTTCCTATCCACTTACTGGTTGTCTGAAGAGTGCTTTTGCCTATGGTTAAGAGGTTTGTTGTGTGGAGTCCATGCATTTAAAAATGATTCTGTTGAAATTGTTGCTCCATTTTAAACATTATCCATCTTCCCAAAGTTTCAGTCGGTGATTAGTGAAGTCACAAACACACACCATCCAACAGCAATTTAACTAGATAGCATTGTAACTTCACCATCTAATTCATTCAATTAAACAAAACTTTCAAGCATTGGTTGCATCTGTCCAAAATGTCCGGTATCTCACAGTATCAAGTCCTACAGCAGGTTATGATGAGACTTTTGGAAAGCTGAAGTATAATGTCGGTGCAGTGAAAAGGCTAAACTGAGGTTCAGTTGCACAAGTTTGCTAGCTCACAGATGAGGATTGTCAATCATAGTGGTGCCCTGAGCAGTCTCTTTCAAAAATGGGAAACATAAATATCTGGGCTTGAAGGGCAAAACGGAGGTGTTGAATTTTCAAAACTTGATAGGAAATGCATTTTAAGTGCTCAGCCTCTTACTCAGCAAAGTAAACAGCTAGCAGATGCCACTCTTTCCAGGTGGTCTAACATCTAGCAATTAGCCAAACCCCCTTTCCCCTTTTAATATAAAGCTGATACTCAGAAACTACATACAGATGTGACCTCATGCAAAAGTAAAGGCCTGACTATTCAGATTTAGACAAGAGGCCACCAGTTGAGTTGCTGGTGCTGCTACCTTGAAATATACAGGTCAAATGAGTCGTATAGTATAGGGGACTGCCTTATATGAGGTCAGTTTACCATGCATTTAGCCTAATATTGATTGTTCACCTGTCCAGTAATGGTCTTCCATATGAAACACCTGCTTTACATGCAGAAGGCCACAGGAACAATCCTGGGCATCTCCAGACAATGTGGGGAAAGACATATTTTTGAAATGGAGGGTCACTATCAGTCAGTGTAGACCAGGAATGAGAAAACTGTAGCCCTCCAGATGTTGGTGGACCTCAGCTCCCATCAGTCCCAGCCATCTTGGTCAGGGAAGCTCACAGTTGTAGTCCAAAGGCTCCCCATTTCTGGTATAAACAATACTGTGCTAGATGAATTGGTATTATCAAAAAATATGTCCCTATTGCATATTATTTTAACTGGAAAAGCTAGTGGTTGAACTTAGGACCTTTTGCATGCACATCATGTTCTTTGCCACTGATTTTTGGCCCCTCCCCATGAACAGGTCCAGCTATCCCATGTTACTAACTGAGGGAGGAAAGAAGATAAAGTGGTTCCTGAACTGTAGAAGACTTGTAAAGATGTGGCCTTTACCCCAGAGATTTAGTTTAGACAATTTCATGCCTTGAAAACATTCATCACATGTTGGAAGCAAGATGGCAACTGAAACAAAAGTCATGTTCCATGTAAGATCAGTCTCAGAAAATTGGTAAACAGGAGACTTTTTTACAGAAAGCTTCCATGTACTTAACTCACAGTACTGGGTTTCCAAGTTAGAATCTTTCCATGCTAGAATTTTCCTAGTTATAATCCAACACTTGTGGCTATGCTATACTGCAGAGCAGCCACTACACTGTACTGGCATAGGATAAGCTGGCATTGCCTGAAACTTAGTTGCTTATTTCTACCTAGGAAATCCTTGTTCCACGGTTCATTTTTGGAACATGTATTTCTCAAGGCTGAAATACTTGTTTTTATCAACTGTTGGAATTTACTCCCTTCCTTCCTTCAGTTTCACAGCAAGTCTTGCCTGAGGCAGCTCGTGTAGCTGACTCTTCCAGTTACCTTCTGACTTTGTCCTGGCACTATCAGCCCAAGATTTATGATTAATGGGTATCTGGAAACATAAAAATAAGAAAAATGTCCCCCTCCCCATACATCATTTCATCATCTTGTATCAAGACGAACTCGTTATTGTAACCTGTCCATCCCCAAAGCGCCAGCCTGATAACAAAATACTATTCCCCCCCCCTTTAACAATAAATTATCTACTTCTAATTTCATTCAAGCATCCACAATGATGCTATTGCCAGACCTTCCATAAGTCTGTACTCAGGATCAAACCACACATTATGTTAATGTGATTTCTGTGAAATAAATTGAAGGTGCCCTGTTTCATAACTTAGATATCCACCCCAAGTATGTAGGGGCACATGGGAAACAGGGTTTAGCACATACCCCCAATCTCACAGTCCCAATGAGAATTGCCTGTGAAGTTGTTCTTTGGTTCCATGGAACAGGAACATAAGTGATCATGCCAAAGTGCATCATTCTCTTCTCACAGTGACCACCAGATGCCTCCAGGAAGCCCACAAGCAGGACCTGAATGTAACAGCTCCCTCCCCACTTGTGAATCCCAGCAACTGGTTTCAGAAGCAATGTCATTGCTCCTGTAGAACCATCCAGGACCTATAGCAAGATCTGTCGCAGAAGGAAAGGGATTCATAGGTCAGAGGTGAGGAGAACCCAAGCAAGGTGTTTCCAACCCTTTGTTGTTGGACATCACAGAAGAAGAGGGGGAACCACACCCCAGATATGAAACTGAGCAAATTATCCAGACTTCAATCTTTAATGGAGAATGAAACATACATTTTGAAAAGTTTTTTTTTTTTAAATAAGGCTGAAAACTACATCTAAATGTGGGGAAATATTAGCTGTAATTGTGTTACAAGTTTGAGGGCATGGGCTGTATACTGAGACTGTTCAAATTCCTGGATCCAGCAAATGTTAAAATTTAAGCAAGGATTCAAATTCCTGAAATAGCCAGGCTAGGTTCTTGGTGAAATAATGGCCTAAATATGGGTTGTTGAGGTAACAAAGCAAGTAGCTCTGTGCCAGAAAACAAACGTGTGGGTCCCAATCCCTCAAATGGCTGGTACTTAGAAAGACAAGGGACAGAGGTGAGAGTTGTTTGAGCTAGAAGCTAGAAGCTGGAAGCAGGCTGAGAAGCCAGAGAGATAGAACAATGCCTGATTTCTGTTAGAATCCAAGACTGTGGCTATGGAAGAAGCAAGATTCTCTTGAGGAGTTAATGCTGTGAACCCCTCCATGGTAGGTTTAGAGTGTGTGTGTCTGTGTAAATAAACCATATAGAATTGTGTCCACTGTACCCCTTTCCGAAGGAAGCATGAACCCTGTGTAAGCGCCTAGAACCCCTGGAATCTCACACTACTTAGAGATTCGGATGGCGTGCAACAATAGTGAAAAAGTGGGAACCAAGAAACATTCACTTAGTTCTGCCACATTTTTAAATCACAATGAACTTGTCATATACTAGGCACACCAACCCATGCAGAGACATCTTGCTCCATTTTTCAAAAATCCAATAGCTCAAAACCTATTGCAAATGTCTAAATAAAATGAAATATGTATCACAAAATAGAACATATGATGCTTCAAGACTCATTCCCTTGCATAACCCTCTTTTGCCACCATAAATGGTTATCAAATTCCCTTTCAAGACAGGAGCTTCTTCAGGGCAAATGTCAATGATTCAGAAAGACTGTGCTAGAAATACTGGAAGGTTGACATGACAGGTTCTTAATCCCATCACTTCATATAACTTCCAGTGATCTCAGTGGAGGTGCGGCCATTGATCAGTTGGAAATTGTTTGATCCAGGAACAGAGCCAAGTCAAATGAACCCCATGAACAGGCTGTGTGGAGGCGCTGGGAAGAAGACTGAGTTTAAAGGGCACAAAAATTATGGGATACCTTCCCTAGTGAGGCCCACCATGTGTTGTCTTTGTTGACCTTTTGAAGTTTAATTAAAACTCACCTGTTCTGCTAGGCAGTTGAGAAGATCAGCAGAGATCTTAGATTTCAGTGTTGTTGCAGTTCTGTTTAGTGTTGCTGCAGTTGTCTAGTAGTTTTATTGCATTGTTCTTGGGATATTTTACTCTCCCTCTCTTTCTTTAGGGACAATTGAGTCATGAAGCCAGATTTGGTGACACAGTCTAGGTTCCAATAAAAGTTTAGCATTTGTACAGTAATTACCAGCATAAAGCCTATGGAGGGAAGAGAAATCAAAAGTATGTAATTAACATTACAATGTTTCATTAACACACAATAATTCCTCTGCAGGTCATACAATTCACATGCATATTTTATTAAATTGCACACAATTTTTTTATATGTATCTGACCCTCATCCTCCTGCATGCTTTGAAGATAGAAAGCCAGTGGTATAGCCTATAAGTTTAAAGACATTTAGAAAGAATTGTGGAGTTAAAAGGTACTTTTGATGTTTGTTCTTTCTTTTCTATCACAAGGGCATTCAATACAGCAAAGGAACGTAAGTAGAAAACATTAAGGCTGAAGAAATTTCCATGGCAATCATTCTCATTTAACCCTTTCCAATCATTTAATATAAAGGGCTGGTAGACAGCTATTTGTTTATTAAGGATATAAAAGCAGCAATATGAATTTCCCCATCTCATTGCCAACAGATTCTCTGTGTGATGCTCTGATTCATTTTAATGAGGATTATATCATACTCCGAGAATAGGTCTCTTCAGCTGTTAACTAGATGGAGCCAGATGTATGCTATTGCCTTCCACAATCCTTGCTAGTGTTTCTGATCAAAGAGGAGAGCAATTAACACTGCCAAGCCTCCCAAGCTCTTTTGTCCAAATGACCTTTTCATAATAAATGTCCTTGCTCCCAATGATTCATGCAACTAGTCTGGAAGAGTTGTCCATGGAAATAACAGGATAGATTGTGCAGGAATGACTTGGGACGTGGGCTCTGATCATCAGTGGAGCCTCCAGGTTTGGAGAGAGACTTCTTTGGGCAAGATTCATGTAACACCCTCTGCCTCAATAAAGAAGGTCCACAGCTCAGTGGCAGAGCATCTTCTCTATATCCAGAAGGTCCCAGGTTCAATCCCTGGTATCTCCAGGTAGGACTGGGAATGCCCTGTTTCTACCAATCAGTGTAGACAATACTAAGTTACAATGGTGTATCTATATCTACATCTATATCTATATCTTTCAACATCATCATCTATCTATCTCAAATGTCATCTTAAAAAGCAGAGACATCACCTTGCCGACAAAAATCCATATAGTTAAAGCTATGGTTTTCCCAGTAGTAATGTATGGAAGTGAGAGCTGGACCATAAAGAAGGCTGATCACTGAAGAATTGATGCAGATACCAGCTCTGAGACTGTTTTCTGTTTGTAAGTGCTGCTAACTCATTATTTTAAGCACTGCGTAAGTATTTGCTCTATGGACATTGTATTCTGCCTAGTTTAACCTTAAGAAAATTCGCAAACAGCCATCCCGAACAATCTCTGTGTGCATGTACTGTGTAATCGAGTTAAGCTTTCTAAAGCTTTAGGAACACTATCAGTTCCTCGTAATGATAAATTTATTTTTTTAAAAAAATATCAGCAGCAGAGATTCAAAACCTTTGTTAAACCCTTGGTAAACACATGCACAAGGATTGACCGCCAAATACAATGTTATAGCAGCCCCAGTATGTACAGCGAACCTCCTTCACCATCGGTAATGCAGTCATTGAAAAGTTAACATCTGTGGCTTAATTATTATTTGAATTTTAATGAAGAAGATGAAGTAAATCACTCAGCTTAGCTGCTCGCTTTTTGAAGCAAACTGAGTTCCTGGAAGATAAGAGTGAGATTGTGCTTGTTCAACAGCTTGGCAATACTTGAAGGGGGAGGGTAAAATACAGGTTTGATGGAATTTAGAACAATTCTACTGCTAATAAAAAAAAAGTGGAGGATAGTCGTAATTCCTGAATATGAGTTTCAGGCTTAATGAGTTTAGTTTAGTTTTTGCAATGAAGCTTTAATGCAGTTAGACAAAATACCTGCCTATGTACACATGGCCAAAATCAGCTCCCAGGAAACTAAACATAGAGCTAATGTAAACTATTTCTGTGCTCTATGCATTCCTTTAAAACTCAACAATCACTTAGCTAGCTGGCAGAATATGTGGAAGCAGGGAATATGTACTTTGAATGCTAATCCTATAAGTCAAGGATGAGGATCCTGTGGCCATGCAGATGTGGGACTAGAACTTTCATCTTTCATGACTAGCAGGTATGCTGGCTGGGGTTTTTTGGGAGATGGAATCAATTAACATCTGGAGGGCCACTTCTCTGCTGTAGGAGATGCTGAGCAAGCACCTTTCAGGCTCTGATCTTTGCTGCTACAGCTCCTGAACACACCACCACCACTGAAACCCTGGGCCAGATATTTTCGGTACTGCAGCTTAGAAGTGGCAAGAGCGGTTGTTAAAAATGGAGGGAAGCAGTGCAAGGATGAATGTGGGAAGCAGAGAACCAGGTCAGATGCAGAACCCAGAAAAGGAAAGGGTGTGAGGGGGAATCACATTGTGGACTCACTCGCATCTGACTTTTATGTACTGGGGGTGGGGAGAACCAGAGTGAAACCTGATCTACTCCCCTCTGCGGCCCCGCCCACCCACTATGGCTGAATTGGCCCAATATTCAAATAGTTTGGTGGTGGGAAAGCCCATGATTCCAAGCAGCTGTCCTGGGGAGTCCCAACTGCTGGCCACATAGACTCAGCGTGGCTCCCATGGGATCTTGCTGTGAGGGGCCGCAACAGCCATTCACCCCATACTGGGTAAACAGCCATCTAGGCACATCTGAACTATTGGCCCCTTTTGTTTAATACGACTAACAGAAAATCTCCAGAGCCACAGGCAGAGGAGGCAGAGGTTTCTTCCGTCAGCTACTATCTGGCTGTTTTAAGTGGAAATGTCAGGGATTGAATTTAGAGCTCTTCTGCATACAAAGTATGTACTCTGCCACTGAGCTATGCCCTATCTCTTGACTTGGTGAGGTGAAGTAAAGGCCATGTTTAGAAGCTTGGCGGCTATACAGAGGAATTTCCCATCCTGCATTCATCACCCAATTGCCATGATTGCCACGTGCTCAGGGAATACATATTGGTCCAGACCAGCTCGTGTACTGTGACCGTGCACTTCTTTTCATCATGTGAATGTTCCCTTTGAGCATGGCCTGCATATGAAAATAACTCAGTTACAGCATACAAAGGTTCACCAACAAAGAATTCCTTCTAATCCCGCTGAGCCAAAAAATATAGTTGGGGAAACTCATAATTTCTGCCAGCTTTCCTTCCTTCCTTTTTGTTTTTGTTGGAGCTTTGATCCTTCTGGCTATCTAAATTTCACACAGAATACATTAGATATCTTTTTGTTTGTTTCAAATATCTTTGAAGGAATTGGTACTATGCTGGAACAACTTGCCAATAATATCAAGCAAGCAAGCAAAATAAAAGATAAGAAAGAGATGGCGAAGTTGGCAGGTACCTGGGTAGTAAATGGGTTGCTGACGTGGCACATATTTAAGACAAAATGTTGACTTATGCCGCAGAAAATAGAATAAGGTACAATTAGAAAATATTTCAGGGATTTCTTCTTGATATATGCCAGACACCTCCAAACTCGGCCCTCCAGATGTTTTGGGACTACAATTCCCATCATCCCTGACCACTGGTCCTGTAGCTAGGGATGATGGGAGTTGTAGTCCCAAAACATCTGGAGGGCTGAGTTTGGGGATGCCTGATATATGTTAAGCCTGAGTTCAAAGGAGTGTTGCCTTCACCTGTGTGGGTTGTCTTCCCTTTGTCACACAGAAGCAGACATCTAAAACAGCAATTACAGTATAAACAACAGTCAGTTCTTTGTAAAGAGTGGAGAAAACACCCAGTCTTCCCTCCAGGCAACCCCAAACTCTGCCCTCCAGATGTTTTGGGACTACAAATCCCATCATCCCTGACCACTGGTCCTGTAGCTAGGGATGATGGGAGCTGTAGTGCCAAAACATCTGTAGGGCCGGGTTTAGGGGTGCCTTCTCTACACAGAATAGAAGGCAGAAGGATTAGCAAGCTGAACCCATATTCTAATCCTAAAGTTACCACATAACAATCAGGATGTCAGGGTGCTGTTGGCGGCTACTGGCTGCCTGCCCAGTAAAGCAGAGAGACAGGGGGGAAAGCGAGCTTTTCAGTTCCTTTTTATTATTAGAATTTCCAGGACAAAATTCCATCCACACTGTTCATCATCCGACGTTGCCTCGAGTGAAGCTCCACCTCCCCTTCTCTGTACTTCCCTATTCATCACAGTCCTCCTCCCTCTGACAGCGGCTACTAAGTGCCACCCACCTTTGAGCCCTCTTCTCTGCTATTCACAGCAAGGGAACGGGTTCTGGGAAACTCTCCACCGGCAGTGTGTCAGTCAGCTGCTGCTCAGGCTCTGTCTGTTCAATGCTGCCTGGTTCCTGCTCCTCATCTTCCATTATTTCCCAACTTCTTCCCTCTTCTTCTTCTGGGGTGTGACCTGTGCCAAACCCCTCCTCTAGATCGATACTATCTGCCCCTTCCTTCTATCTGGAAGGATCCTGGGAAGGTGACCTCCACCATTCCTCTTTATCTGCCCAGTCCCTGACATCAGAATGTGTAAGAGCTTTTAAGGTTCAGGAGACGTATTCAAAGACACCTTCCCATGTATTTCCTTAAGTTGAGTACCTATTTCATTATTTACTTTAAAGGCCCTTCCTTCTCTCCCCCCCCCCCCCCATGTATGCATAGTTAGCTATTCGTATTTATTAATTTTATTAACATTTAATAGCAATTACCCACTGTTATAATCAGTACAGATGCCACTGCCTCCCCTGTTCTGTTGTCTTAAACCATCCTGCAGTCTTTCCCAAGCCTTGACTTTAAGAACAGCAGAAGCAGCTGGAAAGGGAAAAGAGGAGTTCAGGGTTTTATTAATTTTTAATTATGATTGTGTCTTTGTTTTTCAGCTTGATCCTTTTACATGGTTTTGTATGTGTTGTGGTATTTTATGACTTGCTGTTATTTTAATTTATTACAGTATAGTAATTATTTATTGTAATTGTTAAGATTGAGTTTCTGTTTAATTATTATTTGCTCTTATTTTGAGAGTTAATTTTATTGTGTACTATTATATTCTAATGGATTACTGAGTATTACTTTATTTGATATATGTTGTTTCTTTTAAAGTTATGTTTTTATTAGTGACTTTTTTGTATTGGATCAGATTGTTGTAAGGTGTGTTTGATCTTTGTTGCATACTTTGTTGTATCTTCAGCTTGTAAACTGAGAAAGGCAGTATACAAATTAAAAGTGAAATGAAATGTTCCCTGGTATAGGGCTGGTCAGAAGTCATGTTGCAATAGGAGGCATTTCAACTCATAAAGAGTCTGCTTTCCATTTCTTTTCTCATACTGAAATTCACAAAAACCCTTTAGATCTTTTTGTTTTTCTAATGTTTCTGGGGTGTCGTGTTTTAAAGGTAACATTCTAGGTAGCCTTGGCAGCCTCCTATATTTTTGCTTGCTTGTTTAAATTTATATTCAAACCTTGGTCCAAAGCAGGCCCTCAGATGCTAAATTCATCTGAATGTCAGGTGTCAAATTTTATGAAATACTGAATATAAAAACTACTAAATACAGTCAAATATTAACAGCCAAATATCAGATACTGAAATCATTGCATAGCAAATAATTTTCAGTTATTTAAAATACCCTGTGTCTCAGTAATTTTGATTGTAATTCTGATTGGTTTCAACCAATTTCCCAATCTTCAGTTTACTGCTATAGTAAATTGAACATGCAGAATTATGTTTTCTGCAGAGAACACTTCTTTTCCTGAATATTAATCATCAATGAGATTTTGTCTTTTTAATAAAAAGAAATCCCTTCCTTAATAATGTTTAAAGTGCATTGCTCTTGCAGAACTCTATCATTCCACAGAATGGCCACAAAGGTTTATAAAAACTGCAAAATATAAATATTTGGGTTTCAATATTTTGATTTCCTGTTCAATTTCAATGTAGCTGTGAACCAAACCATCTACAGTCAAAGAGAAAACAGAACTGGAGTTTGCTGATATTACAGTGTGCCAGGAACAGAAGCTGTTATTGCACGTCTGAAGAATTTTTATATCCCTCTGATAGTTTGTACACCATCTGAATTTTATTAAATTCTCTTTGACCAACCTAGAGCCAAGGTTGGCTTATATATGCAGAGAATCTCAGTGCTAATAAAATAGCTTTTAATGAGGCACAGATGAAAATCAAATGATTGCATAGAGACCTGAAAGACATTTTGGCAAAGTATTTATTATTAACATTGATTGGCAAAATAACTAAGATTTGAGCTAAGAAATTGCAGTCTGCTGTATCTCCAGGTTGCAGTCAGAATATTGACTGACTGTCTTGTGTCAAGGCATTCATAACCCAAGCCTCAGTATTCAGTCTCCTGTATCATGCCATAACTCTAAGCCAAGAGTAACATCCTGGCTCAGTTCTCTGTGCAAAACACAGTAGGAGGTCAGCATTAAAACTGTATGATGAATTTGGCTTTATGTATAATGTCACACTAGTAAAAATTTAGTATTTGGTGGGCTTATTAAACAGTGAGTGTATCACAAGCCAGACACATATATCATCTAATTCAGTCCTCAACATTTCAGAGTTGTGTCTCCCCGTTGCAGAAAAGAAAATACTACTTCATAACAGTTACACTTATAACTAAATACTTTTCCAAACTGAATTTTAAGGTGTGCACATAAGTCTGGTTTCAGTAGGAAACTGTCAGAACCAATGTAGAATTAAACTTGATTTTTAAAACCATGAAGTACATTCAAAAGGCAACTTTAAAAGCCATAGGTCAACAAAATGCATAAATTGCCTTGAGGTGGTGATTTTGAAGGCATTAATAAATTAAAAGTGGTGGTAATGTTGCCCTTATCTGAAATGAATTTGTCCAGCTCTGCTCACTACTCTGAGCAAATCCCACAGGGCTGATTCATATCTCTACCCAACCAAAGGTCTGGTCTCTGCCTCACCACACACACAAAAACAACACATGAAATGAAGACTTAATGTGCACTTTGTGTGACTGTTCCCCTCTCAACAAAGGGGAGTAAGATCAGGCCTATGTACATATGGTAGCATTTTACTTTATATCAGGTGTGGAGAACCTTTGACCTTCCAGATATTGCTAAACTACAACTGCTATAATCAAGGCTTGTTGGGACTGCTGGGAGTTGTAGTTCAGCAACATCTGGAAGGTCAAAGGTTTCCCACCCCTGCTTTGTATATATGCTGAAGTATCACTCCTCCACTGTGCAAAAAAAAGGATCAATGGTCTGTGTGTGTGCGTGTGAGATATTTGTGGATCACTACCTCATCCAAGAAATGTGCTTTAGTTCTGCAGTGTAAACATGTCATAGCTCAGAGGGATCTCTTATTGGCTACCTCCAAAAAGTGGCCTTTACAGCTTTGCCAGTCTGCTGTCTATCTTCCTCTTAATGGCTACACACCTCCTCAAATATGATTAGATTCAGGGAAAATTTAACAGTGGTACAGTATCTGTTTTGAGCGTAGGAGTTCCTAGGTTTAATTATCAGTATTTCCAGGTAAGGTGAGAATGTCCCATGTCTAAAACTATAGAGAGCTGCTGCTCTGTGTGGACAGCACTGAACTAGATGGAAGAAGGTAGCTTCCTAGATTCCTAATACTTTCAATTTTTTTTGGGGGGGGGTGAGTATCTTACCCAGTGGAAACATAAACACTTTTAAAATATGGATTTAATTAGAATGGACTTTTTTACTTGTTGTGTGTATGCTGCCATGATACTAAACTAAGTTTGTAGTTTCCCATTAGGTATGGGTGAAATAAGTCCAAAATCATCATGGAATGGTTTCAGAGATTTGCAGAAGACAAAAAAATTAAAATGACCTTTACAACTGTCATTGGAACATTTTTTTTTTCTTAAATCAGAAGAGCAAGCTCTGACTTTGCCTCTGACAAAAATCAGCAGCAGCAGTGGCTTAAGCCAATACCCTCGAGGGCCAGGATTTGTGGATGCCTCCACAATCCTGACTAAGAACAGCAGGAGGTAGAACAGAATGTAGCTGAATGGTGCCAGCAACCACCTGGTGGGCTGGACTCAGCTGCCTCACTTGGCAGAAAGATCAAGGATTGAAGAGTAGGAGGGAGACAAGAATCCATTGCAGAGAGAGGAAGGAAAATAAATGTCAGGGGTATATGCAAGGAAAAGAAACCAAAGGCAGAGTGATATTTCACGGAGCAAAACACTTTCAATAAAAAAGCTAGTGTTCTTTTCCAAGCCATGGCAACAGCAATGCAAGAACACCCCAAGCAGGATGTTCATAGCTGAAGATTCAGCCCTGACAAAGTATAGTCAGGTGAGGCAAATAGGGCTATGTCCCTGTTTCAGCAGAGCAAAGCAAACACAAGCAAGGCAAGGCAGAGCCAAGTCAAGGTTCAGGCAGGGTAGGAATTGAGGATACAGACAGCACTCTGGACAGCTCTATGGAGCATGCAGGCTGTAGCCTCATAGGAGCAAGGCTCAAATGTTGCTTCAGCAGCAGACAACTCCACCCTGAGCCTTCAATAGAGCTCCAGCTGGGTGGCTAATTCCACCTTCGATGACAGAAGCTTCTTCCATTAAAGACTATCTTGGCTGTGAGTCCTGGAAAATTTGCCCCCTGCCTTGCAGGTATTTTTTCACCTGGCCTGGGAGGGCAGAGCCTTGATTGATTCCAGCTACAAAAGCTGAGGCTACATATGAGGCCAGAGACCAACTTGGCTGTCTATTGGTGTAGACCTAGGTCATTGAGCCTGAGCCATCACTTGCCATGAACCACCATTGGCAGGACTGGAAACAACAGCAGCAGTTACATTCTAGGCTTATGATCATATTTTATTCTTTTGCTAATTATGATGTTTTAAATGTGCATTTTATTTTGACTTCTTTAATATTTTTTTTAAAGTTTACAGTTTTTTGTTAACTTTGCTAAGTTAAATGTGCATTCTGTAGTTGACTTTTGCAATGTTTTACTTTGAAATATTTAAGATAACATTTTAGTTTCTTGTTAACTTTGTTTCTTTGAATGTATACTTTATAGTTGACTTTTTTCAGTAATGTTTTGCTGGATTGCTTTATTTGAGGTTTTAATGTGTTGTAAACCACTCTGAGATTTATTGTTAATATAAAGCGGTATAGAAATGAAATGAATAATAATTTAACAGACATTGACTCCAACATCCGCTCAAGTCCTCTGCTGTGGCAGCCTTGGGATCTGGCAATGCAAACTCCATGGACTAGAGTGGTGAGGGCAAAATAGGCTCATCATGTGCCAGTGGTTCAGATATAGTGGAGACTGGTTCTGAGAGCAATCTCCTCTGAATCCATGGCCTCATCCCACAAACATCATAAGAAGCACTGTCCTAAAGTCATATATAAGAAAGTGGAATATATGTGGGTGGAGGGGTTATTAGCAATATCTAAACCCAAGAACATTTTTGTATTATAATTTGCTGTTTGAGAATGTTTATACAACACAGTATTGGACATGTGGTTTGTTATGCCTGTTTTCAAAAGAGCCATGCAACGGTTCCTGCAAAAGATTAGGTGTCAAAACAAAATAGTACTTTGGCCTAGGGTTCCTCAGTACCACTTTACAGATCAGGCTTCCTCAACCTCAGCCCTACAGATGTTTTTGGCCTACAACTCACATGATCCCTAGCTAGCAGGACCAGTGGTCAGGGATGATGGGAATTGTAGTCTCAAAACATCTGGAGGGCCGAGGTTGAGGAAGTCTGGATTAGATCGTAGTAAAACCCATGAGAAAGGAATATATGTTTGTTTTTTAAACTGCATATTAAAATCACATTAATTACCAAAATGTTTGTTATTTGAAAATACACATTACAGCAACAGACCACAATGACTCATGGCCGAGATAAGAAGTATATCTCAAACAATTCAGACAGAAAACTGGCTCACAATTAGTTAATCTAAATGAACATTTTAGTCTCTTTCTCTCTCTCTCTCTCCCTCTCTCTCTCTCTCTCTCTCTCACACACACACACATACATATTCAGGCATCAAGGATTTTCATATCGCTTTTTTAAACTTTTCACCCCAAATGCTAGTATTAAAGAAATTCAATAGGGCATGAAGATATTAAACATCTACTCAAATAACAGGAGAGCCTAGATCTGGAACAGTTGCTCCACAATTCTAAGACTGGGAGATGAACGCCACTGGTTTCAATAGAAACTCGAGTTTAAAATGACATTGTATGTTTGACGGTTGGGAATGTTGCCCTGTAGCAGTCTCAGAGCAGTGTGATTGTGCTAAATTGCCAAGCTGCTGTGGGTAGCTTACAGATGGTTTACATTCATTCAGCATTTCCTCTCAACTGGGGGTTTACATTGTCATAGAAAACCTTATATTCTTTTACCCACCACTCTGCCAATGCAAATATACTCTCCTGTAATTTGGACGAACAAGTCTAATAACCAGTTTATCTTTGGTCATCTGTAGGATGGGAGGCTGGTGCGAATGTGCATACCCCTGGACAGCTTTTCTTTTAAAATAAAGGGAATGCCAATACTTGCATCTTTTGCATTCCTTTTCTCCTACAATGATACTTGATGGGTTTGTGGTATTGGGGAAGGGGTGCTGGCATGAATTCTCATAAAACTGATTAGATGGGTGAGTGGGGGATGGGAGTCGAAAAAGAAAGACAAAACCTCATTGGGTCTAGGGAACCCTTTTTAACCTGCTCTCTGTTTAATACAGGAAAAACCCAACTAACTGCAATTTATTTCTGTACTAGCAGCCTTGTACCCAGCGTTGCTCAGGAATTCTAAGAAACCAAAAAATCGGGGCAGTTTTGAAAGGTTCCGCCTGTCATCTTGCTTCATCTAATTGTATCCAAATGTAGACAAAACCATGCTTCTTGATCTCAAAAATCACCATGCAATATTTGGTTACAAAAACTTAAGACATATCCAAATCCATAGGGTAGTATTCAACTAAGTTCTTCTCAAGAGTAGGCTGACACAGCTCCATTAATTTCAATGTGTTTGCTCTAAAGAAGTGTTAGTTGACTGTAATCCATAGAGAAGAGTCAAACAACTTTCCAATGTATATCAGATTCAGCTGTGTGTTAGTGCTTTCCATCTGTACTAGATTCTCTTATCTTTAGGGTTTCCCCCCTAAATATATTAAGGTTTTCATCTGATGTAAAATAGAAATAGTGCATTCCATCAGTAATTATGAGCATTGCATCAGTCACTATTTCCATAAATACATCAGCTGGGCAGTATAGTCAACCCCATAGGGTTGTTGTTGTTGCTGCTGTTGCTGTTGTTGTTAAATCTATATCCTGTCTTTCCTCACGTAATGATCCCAGGTGGATTAGAATTAATTATTTAAGAACCACTAAATAATAACAACATTTTAAACCCTAAACATTAAAATTCACAGTAGACATTACCAACAGCTGTTCTTCCAATAGTAAACCAACCTCAGCTCATAACCTCAACTCCCCATGTCCTGTCCCTGCCAAAAGCATTTTTAACTGGTGCCTAAAAGTGCACAGAGTTGGTATGAATCACATTTGAGGGTGGGGCTTTTCAGAGGCATGGAGCCATCAATGAGAAAGTCCTTCCCCAGGTCAATGAACAGCATACTTCATCCAGGGATGGAATCACAAGGATGTGAAATGGTAGATGTGGAATTCACTGATTTTGAATATGCTTCTTGTGCAAATAAGCTACAGTCCTGAACACCCTTGTTAGGAAGCCACATTGAACTACATAGGTTTTGTCTCTGAATTAACATACTTGGGATTAGTCAGTAAATTTTATACTCCTCCTTAAAGCAAGATAGCATGTAGCTCAGTTTGTAGTTCCTACATGGCTTTTGGAAATCATTTCTAAAGATTTAGGTTCCAATAAGTAACTGCAGTTATAATGTTTACTTTCTGCTACAGAGTGCCATATGTAGGGCTATTGTTCATATATGAAGAGTTGCGCTGAGTACGGCACTAGAAGTGAGACAAGCAAGAGAAGTTGAACACATCAGATTGGAGAAATGGGCATGAACCATGTCTGAAAACTGAGAAACATGGCAAGCAAAACAGCATTTCAGATTGGGCCAACTTTCTCAATATTCAAAAACAATTAATTAAGAATGGGTAAACATAAATAAAGGGCACGTATTCAGATTTCACATCCCCCATATAGTTCATAACTGGCTTTCATTCTACATGTAAAACATGCTCAATCCATGCTGTGAGCTTGAAATCTGAAACTTATAGCAGTAAAGCTTTTCAGTGTAAGTACAGATCGATTGATAGCCCTTTATCTTCTGCTGTGACTAATGATAAGCCCAATGAGATTTCACACTAATCTGCAGGTTGCATTGTTCACTTTGTCACTCATAAATATTTTTGCTTACTATAACTTGAGGAACAACCATTCATTCTCAACATAACCAGTGCAGACCAAAAATAGACTCAGCAAACAAGTCTTCATATTATAATCATCAGCATTTTTTGGGTTTGTGAAATTTTTAAGAGTATGTTAAATGATATGATTCCTTTCAACAGTATTGGTTTTAATATCTATTTCATGGGTAGTGTTTATTTTGTACCATATGCCGTGCTTATTTTTCTAGAAAAGTAGGCGCCGGTACTCACCATAAAGTTGTTACAGGGTCACACTTTTTAACCAAAAAAAGAAAAAGAAAAAAAGAGGTGCATGAAGTTGTTCCCACACAGCAAATATTTGTTTTAATTTGGGGAGCAAAATTCCAACATGCACCCCCACCCTGCCTGCTGACTGAAGTGGTATGATCGAGGAACCGGAATTTGTGCAGACCAGGCCTAAGCCAAAAGACTTCATGGAAGTGACCCAAACCACAATAAACTTAGCCTCACATGATGCAGCTGCCTACAGTGTATCATTTTCTTCCTTACCTGTATAACCAATTCAGAGACTATTGTATTATGCCTCTTGCCTAGCTAAAATGTTAGTACTGTATGGGATGCTGTCCCCAAATAGGCTTCATTGCTGACTGCTGCACCAGGCTAAGGCATTCTTATTTGTCCAAATATTTAAATTTTAGCCCTGCTTTGCAGTTTTTTCATCAATAGTTTTTGCTCTCAATTTGTTATTCATTATGAAGGTCATGGTTTTTTATTGTATTTGCACACCATTTTGGAATTCATGGATGAAGGGGATAGAGGGTGGTTTATATATTTTTCAAATAAATATATAACATATTCAGTTTTCCTGAATCTGAACGAACTTGCCCACTGCTTCTGCCTTGCTGTGATAACAGAAGGATTGCTATGTTCTGCACAGCAGAGAATGTCAAGGAAAACCAGAAACATCATATTAGAAAACTTTCAGGCAATTATGCCATTGCAAAGGCATCTATATACCTGGTAGTTGTTGTTGTTATTGTTGTTGTTTTTGGTAGTGATGAATCCAGTCTTGGAGAGGAATGACCATTGGGATTTTCATAAATGAACCATGCATTTCAAGGCCGAAGTTTTAATTATAATTGCCCATTTACAAAGAACCATACTATGCTCTACTATAGCTTTCCAACTTTGGAATGCAAACCATTGGTGCCTATTGTTTTTCAGCCACAATAAATGAGGGCTTCACAGGAAGAAAACAGTTCCCCTTATCTGCTAAAGGCTGGCCTGCAGCATGTAACTATCAGCTGCTAGCATCACAGGGACTGGGAGGTAACCAATAGAATGTGTGAGGAGAGATTAGAATGAATTGTTGACGTTGGTTTTGCCTCATAAACGACAGTCTCTTGCATTTGCAAGTTGGCTGTTTGTTACATTTCTTTTTCCTTCAAAGGCAGTTTTGTCTTATCTGATGCTGAAACTCTTCCATGCAGCTTTGACCGCAGAAGCACGCAAGAAAGAAATCGGTTGGAAATTTGTTCATGTCTACCTCTATGCTTGACATTTCTTCGCTGATAAGGTAGAGCTAAATATTGACTTTTTGGTTAAGTTCAGATTAGCTGTCTGGTCTACGAGCATTGATCGTAACCCATTATCTTTTTCCCATTTTGGGCCTCTGAGCTCAGCTGCCAAAAATGAGAGACAAAGGAATGGCAGGAAGAAAATTAATGTGCAGTAAAGATATCACTTTACTAGACAAAGCCACAATTACTGTTGACCTTTGATTTTATTTCCTGTCCATCTTGCATTCCAATAAAGTAATTCATATTTGCCTTGGCTTTCCTTTTCCCAAAGAAAACAATTTCTCTTCTGTCTACATGACAAGAAACCCTCTGCTGTTAATGCTGTTTGATAATAAATACAGGTGCTACCATAAGTACGCAGAATTAATGTGCAGTGCTTGCTGGTGTAAGCTTCAGTCTGTTGCTTTACTCTAACCCTATAAGAAGACTTAAGGACTTGGCCTGAAGGGGGAAAGAAGTAAGGGAAGAAGGAAAGCAAATAATGTTATTATATTGCCTTGCAGAAAGTCTTTGACAAGTTCCCAAGAGACTTCCGAGGAAATGAAACATCTGGAGTTGTGATGTCCACCTTGACATGGATTAGAGCAGTTTCAGACACTGTAGAGGGGTTAAATGAATGTGAATGAGGAGAGACTAGCACTGCCATTTAGACCCTTGTCTTCTTTCATGCCAAACCTTCTTAAAGAGAAAAGGAAAGGATACATGGTTGCTTCCAGGTAACCTGTTTAAATTCGCATTCATCTTGATTTGTTTACACAGTATGTGGGGAGTTCAGATGTCCGCCATTTTTGAGAGTTTTTTCTGATTTTTGTGTGTGCAGGGATGTTGTTTGTTTGTTTGTTTGTTTTATGTGTGTGTGTGTATGTGTGTGTGTGTGTTTTATTTCATGCCCTTCTTCCCAAAGGAGCCCAGTGGAAAACATTAGACAACTTCGTGTCTAATAGCAATTGCTATTCCATACTTTCCAAGGCATTTTCCTGTCAATTTTTAAATTGTAAAAATTCCATTGGGGGGGACACTGAATAAACTGAATAAACTGAATAAACTCAAATGGCACAACCTGCTTTTGCTGGTATGCAATTAAATCCCACCAAGAATTCGCAACCATCTGGAGGTGGTCCATGTCAGTTCTTCTCATGTCCACACCAGTTCCTCTACAGCCAATGAAGTAAGATCATTCCCTCCGTCAAGCTCAAAGTGAAGGAAGTGGCAGTGAGCTGGCAGAAGTCCAAACAACAGAGTCACCATTGTGCTTGTTGTCATTATGTATACACAAATAGCTAGCATAGCACGAGAGAATCAATTCAACATGTTGGGTATTCTCTCAAGACCACTTGTTAGATAATAACATAAGGAGATTAAACAGTCATCAACACCTCCTCTCTTTTTTGGTCTCAACCTGTAATTAAATAATACCTACCCTGCATTGTAAAATGTGGTTCCTTGCCGATGAAAGAAGCACATTAAGACACTGTCAAAAGTATGTTCAAATACTTTCCCCTGGAAGATGTTAAGGATTCCCAAAGCTCATTCAAGTTTAACACTCTCTCCACCCTCAAGTTCTCTTCTATTGCCATGTATTGTGCATAGCACAGAACATGCTTTTTGTGGGGGGGGGGCACACCTCTCCTATGTGTATTTATATTCCAAATTATATTCCAGTGCAAAAGATCTACAGGGTGGAAATGTTATATGGTGCACGTTCTATTCCCCTGCAGAAGGATATTCTAAGCTTAACACAGTTCAACAGGTATTTGTACTGAAGAACTGACCAGATTCCCCAGCCACATGGATAATAAACTCCTACCTGTACTGTACACTGAATGGAGGAGGATCCACTATGTTCCATCTGGCAACTAATATGCCACCAGCAAAAGCTCTTATCCTCCACAGACTTTTTTCTTTTGGTCATAGAACTATAGAATTGTAGGGATGAAAGGGGACACAAGGATCATCTCATCCGACTTCCTGCAATGCAGGAAATTTTCACCCAACGTGGGGCTCAAACCCACAACCCTGGAATTAAGAGTCTCATGCTCTGCAGACTAAGCTACCAGTTTCACTAATACAAGAGACATGCTGTTTTCTTGGAGGGGGGGGGGGAGTGGTCTTTTCACAGCTCACTGTTTTACAAGCCCAGGAGGCAGGAAGCAGTAACAGGCCTACTGCTGGCTGCGAGATGGGCATTCAGTTTAGCCTCCCCAGTCCTTTTCTGCTGCACCTGCAGAACAGCAGCCTACTGGAGGAGCCAAAAGGTTTGGCCAACTAGACCTATCTATGAAGCACAAGAACTTGCCATGGCTATAGCTGGTTTCCAGGAATGATGCTTATTTATCCAGAATGACATTGGGTCACTGCCAGCAAGCCAGCCCCAATACAGGTGACGCTAAAGCGGGTGTGACCCTTTGGAGTGTGATGTGGGCATGGGCATTACGGGATGAGCTTGTTCCCAGGTGAGAGACTGGAGCAGCACTGGGAGGGTAGAGGTTGTGAAACAGGTGGAATACTGTGTCTATGGTGAAAGCATATCCAGTGCTTTCACCATAGACACAGTGCGATTGGTGACTATTTGTTGATTTTTCTATTTTATGTCATTTTGATTGATTGTACTGATTGAACTTTTATTGTATATTCATTTGTACTAATATTTTTGGGAGTCTTTGGACAAAAAAAAGCAATGGCATAAACACAACAGAACATTTAGCTTTTGTTTATGACACTGGGGGTTTTTTATGCAGGTGTCAAGGAAGAAGTGTATTTTAAATGTGAGTTGTAACTTTCATGTCAACGTCAGCAGGCTGGATCCAGAGACGCTTTTCCAATCTGAGGGTCTTTTTCCAGTGGAGGCAGCAGTCATCCCAAGGAGATGACATACTTTCCTCCAATGAAAGATATTCCATTGTAGTAAGTTTCTCTGGATCCAACCCAATGCCAACATTTATATTGTGTTGATTTTTGTAGGTGTGTGCAAAAATAAATTCAAAGTTGTTGTTGTTTAAAAAAGAATGAACATATTTTAAGAACCCTGCAACTGCTTTCTACAGCAAGTTTTGAGGAAACCAATGCTGCATTTGAGAAAGAAATTCCCTGGCCTGGGAAAAATGTTTTCCTACCCAAATGAAATTCCAAGGGTAAGTCTGTAAAAGCCAGCATTTTTCTACCGCTGGTTTTCTAACGTGTGTTTTGTTGCTTTTGTATGTTTTTAGTAGTTTGCCTTTTTAAAATCCTATAATAAGTAATGTAGTTATAAAGCTTAGAACACTATATTTGTATCTGTCATTTTAAAATAATCACCTTCTTCCAGTTGTATGGAAATGCCAAGCTGCTGCTAACATGTCAGAACACTCCAGTTTATAATAGCCTATTTACAGGCTTATATCTTAAACAATAATTCTATCTTCTTTACCACCACCTCACTCATCTTTGAAACTTTGGGAGAAAGAATAATTCATTTACAGAAATGCCCACCCCCATTTCTTTCTTTTTTTAAAAGGAAGGATTCCCAAATCCCATTCAATTCCTTTTGGAGGAAGTTAGCATGTGCTTCAGTTTCCCACAGAAATCAATGGAACTTAAGTATGCTTAACACTGGTCAAATGATATTCTACTTAAAGTTTGTAGCTACAAAGCTAACACAGTTTTCATCACTTAGTATTTCATAGACTCAACAAAGTTTATTGATATTGTTACCTAGTGGTTCCACTTTTTCTTGCATTCTTTCTTGGTCCTTTTGGATGTTTTATATTATTGTCAAACTTTTGGGTCAATTTCAATACTTGACAACTTTCAATTAATCTCCAATTTTTGCTTTAAAAGCTTTTTTCTTTATATTGTATCTTCATGCATTAAATGATGTGCTATATGAGGAATGTTTTCTGTAGACTAATCTAAAACATAACTCAGTTTAACTCAGTGAAACAAAGGTTGCTTCAAAATTATGTTTACTGAGTATTCATCCTGATTTTCTGCAACACCGTTTACAGGGAGGCTATACAAGATTGCCAAATACTGAGCATTTGTTTGTGTTTTCGGGGAAGTTATACAATGTTGTGACAATCACTTGTTATCCCTTTACATGGCATTTCCCCATCACTTTCCTTACTTCAAAAAGTCCATGTCCTTTTGTGTGCCAAAGTCAAATCCACTTTGCTGATATGCAAGTGAATTCCACCCACTCTATAGCAAGTCTGGAAGTTTCCTCAGCTTCCTACTCTATGAATGCTTATTCCAAAAGTAAGTCCTTTATTAAGCCTGCAACCCAATAAACAAAAAAATCCCCTATGTATCTACCTTCCATACCCATGCTGGTTTGCTGCCTCCTTAACACTTCTGGGTCATCATTTGAAGCCAAGCAGGCTCACTTTTCATTCTTCTCCAGATGTGACAGTCAAAACACACTCAGAACATCCAAAGATTAGAAACCATAACAACTTATCTGGCCCCACAAAATCACATGCCAAAACTATTGTTTACGCAGAATTGGAGGTGGAAAAGATACCTGGTATCTGCAGTGAATAATATTATCATGTTCAAACTGCAGTTCTCTGCCCAATTTGTGTAATTATAAGGGTGGGGGACTCAAAATCCTGTAAAATATGAAGGCAAGCCTCAAAAGGAAATCCTTTTAAAACTGTATGACCATTTTTTTACTAGTTCTATTACTGCACAATTCATTAGTTGCACAGCTAATCAGCAGGAGCCATGTATTTTGATTAACTCATCATGATGTACCAGTTATATAAACAGGAAATGGCAATAGATTACATCACTGTGGATATTGCCTAGAGGATTACTTTTAATTCCAGAATTCTTGCAAAATTCAGCTTTCAAAATACAGATAACACACTACACACTATGTGGTCTTGGCTAAGGGTTGTTCATGTGTTCCCAATCACATCCAAATTTTAAGAGGTGTAGCAATCAAGATTGCATTTTTATCCAAAGTGAAGGAAGCAATTATATGCCCTTCTTCAGCGACAATCCCAAACAGATTTGCATATGCTGCCTATGCTTGAATGGTTGCAGACTGATTAGACCAGCCTTCCATCCTCCATATTGTTTTAGATGCAACTCCATCAGGCTCCGACAGTATGCTTGCAAACACTGCAGTTGATGGGAATTATAGCTCAAAACATCTGAAGGGAACCAAGCTGGGCAAAGCTAGAATAGACAGTGTTAGCCTAATAAACACAATTCATAGAAGAAATTTAATTGATTTATTTCATAAAATTTATGGTATACACTGCTTGGCTGCAAAACAACAACCTCAAAGCAATTTACAAAAGATACAAGCAAAATTAAGAAAAAAATTACAACCCTACTTTAAAACATACAAAAGTTAAAATACTAAAAGAGATTAAGATTGCCCCAACTTTCTAAGTATCTGGAGAGACTATGTTTGATATGGTAATTGAATCCGCAGTCACCAACCAAACATGCCGCTGTCATCATTTCACCCTAATCCCTCCCACGAATCCTGCCATTTTATTTGCAATAAGTTTAAACTCCTTTCTCTCCTCCTGCCCCAGTTCAGCACCATATCTCCTACTATTTGTTATCTTATGTCTTTATCCTTTAGATCTGTTATGCATACCTGCTTATATGCTGCACACTGCTACAACTCTCTGGATCCTTCAATTTAATCTCCCTATCTTGTCTCTTAGCCGCTCCTTTATCATGGTGCCACCTTCATGTTACAGATGAAAATGACAGGAGGTCAGCACCAGAGACCAGACTCTCTGAATGCCATACTGAATTTTAAACTGGCAACTTGATTGTGTTCCTTTAGAAACACATCTTAGCCTTTGGAAAGAAAAGAAAAATACGGAGAGGTATCTGCTATATGAAATCCTAACAGTATGCCCACTTTCGAGAAAGTTCCTTTGAAGGAGTCAAATGCATACCATAAAATAGTTATTTCATCAGGTGTGTGGAGTTTTTTGGACGGAGAAATCTCTCTCTTTCAATCATCCTCTCCCCTATTTATATATTTTTTTAAATGATAGGGAGTTGTGAAGTCTGTTGTCTCCAATGCAAGTGATCTCATTTAAATACATATGCCTTTGCCTTGCATTGTGTGAGCAGCCATGGAGTCCCTGTCCCTGCAAAGCCTGGTCATCTAGGGTATATGAATAAATGGACACCACAATGGTCAGGGATTAAAAGGCCACAACTTTATTGATTTCAGAGGTAGGTAAATCTTTGGCATAGGCACTGGGCATGTATCCCTCTCAGCCTCCTAGTGGAGGGTCTGAAGCATGACAGGGTCTGCTTGGGGGAAGAAGGGGCCATCACAAAACGCAGGTTTACATGAATGGCCCAACCCTAAGCACTGGGGAAGCTCTATGACCTGCTTCTTGCTCTATGAACAGAGACTTCAAGACTCCTCTAACGGGGTACCCTATAAATGCCACCCCTGGAAGGGGGACGAGTCACCTCTTCACCCCCAAAGGTTAGGAGATAGACTAAGGATTCCGCCCAAGGCCTAAACCGCCAAAACTAGTGCTACAGTGAGGACAAAACCTGCAGCACAAGGAAAATTCCTTCCTGGCTCCGAATATAGCAACCATCCAAAGACCATAGCAAAGCCCGCTGAGCTGGAAAGAAAAAGGGTGTTAAAAGAACAACAGCAGTGCCTAGGAATGGACCTGAGGGAAGACTGCATCCCTAAGGTCTGCTCCCAAAACCCCACCCTCCAAACCGCCACAGAAAGGCCAGTTTGAATGGTGGGCTTGGTGGAGGCCCACGCACCTCCGTGGCAGCCAGGGAGGAGCGGCAATGGCCACTTGTAAAATGGCGAGGCTCTGCGGGGAGAGGAGGCGTTGTGGTGGGCCGCAACTACCACTCACCATGGAGAGAGGTAAGCGGCATTTCTCACTATATCATATGTGTATCTCCACACATTTTGAATAGCTGTACTCTCATTTGCATCTCCTCCTTTTGGTGGGAATTAGAGGCAGAAAACATGAATAGGATTCTCACATAAGGTAATTAGAACCCGGGACAAAGGCTTTTATATGCATTCTGGATGTGCTGGGGGGGGGATTAAAGTGCTGAGCAGATTTTCAAACTATGCCCCACTCTCAGCTCACAGTCCTCCTTTTCTTCCCTTTGGTTTTGCTATAAGTTTTTGACCAGCTTAAAGGTATGCAAATATGATAATGCATTGTCTAGCTTGTCCCTGAAATGAAAGTGTGTTTTTCTGTGTGTGTGTGTTCCCTCCTTCATGCATTTTCAGTGTTTTCTGCAGATCCTCAAAGCACTAGTGGCGATTGCTTTAGGGATGTTGAAAAGTTTACAGTGAAATAAACACACTGACTATCCAGCCTAATCAGGATTTTATTGGCTCACAGGCCTTTTACAATCCTGGCAGAGTGCTGCAAAAAGGAAAAAAGGCAGCAGTTCAAAACACAATACATTTAAAAGCAATACAGTATGTGAGTTTTATTTATGACCTCCTGATCCCAGGGAAAGCATGCAGTACAGATCCTGTGTGGTTTAGCAGTCATCTCATGGGACCAGGAAGCTAGAAAAACTCTGCATTGGCTCTAATGCAGCCAGAAAGTATCTGAAAGAAAGCTGCCACGTTAACCAAGGTAGGTGGCCTGGGCAGTAGAAAATTTAAGTATTTTAAATAGAAAGACATGAAGAAACAAGAGCAGTGGAAGAGTGGAAGAAAGCCATGGTGTTTCAGAACAGAGGCAAGGTAATAAAGGCTTTGTGCCCTCAAAATTACTAATTTTTTTCCTACTTGTTTATGCTACCTTTGAAGAAGAAAGTGTCCCCAAGACTGTTCACAGATACTAAAACAAAAATTTCAAAATGAATAAGCAAAATAATTTGAAACAAATTCCAATCAGGTAGCCAATTATGACTCAACCCAAGAGAAAGAAACACATCACCAAGAAAAGCAGGAAACAGCTTTACATAAAATCTGCATGTATTAATTTATATAGATGCAAATGTAGACATAATTGTTGTAGTTTAAATATAAATACCATATCCCTCACCATAGTGGGGATGTCTAACCAGGTGACCTGTGTTGTACTCATTCTGCTGGACTTGGACTAGAGTGTTCTTCAAACAGGTAGCCCTTCAAATGGAGGACTGGGCTCTGTAAAGTACAACACAGGGCCAGTCTCAAGTGGGAACAAATCAAAAACATATTTCCATTTGATTCCAATTCTCAAAGTTCTGAAGGAGTAAGAAACAATTTTATCCGTCTATTTTATGTTTTAAAGAGAACAAAGATGAACATAAGCAAACCTCTGAAGGGAATGCAGTTTACAGCTGTAAGAGCCATCGCTGAAAAGGCCCTGCTCCAAATGGAAACTAATTTTGGTTCTCAGATAGATCACACTTGGAGCAAAGTTTTTGGATACCAAGGAACGAGAGATTAATTTGGGGCACTTACTGGAAATCAGTTTTGTCACCTCTTCCTCCCCAAACCCCGAGACAATGAGCCCAGCCACCTTTTATTCACAGTCGCATAAGCACTACACTACAGCATTGCCATAGACTTGTACGTTCAGCCACTGAAATATACACCCAATATGTAGCAATGGAGATTTATGTTACTGCTTTATGAATGAACACTGTGTTTTATGAATGGACTCTGTATTTTGTGAATCACCTAATAACCACCAATAGGGAGCTCTAGAATCTGACAGCTAACCAATTGGGTACTACCAAAGAGCGACCCCTATTGCTGAAAGCAGGTGACCAGCAGGGAATGCTTCAGCTCAGCCTTTGCACTGTTGACTGAACACCCCCTGCTGCGCAGATAATGGAAAAAGCTCATAAACTGCATCCCTTCTGGCATCCTGGCCAACTCCATTACGCTGGTGTAAACCCTGGTGCACCAGAAGCACAGAATAGCAGCAAATAAAATCTGCTCATACCTCAGCAACTAATAAGACATGCCAACCAGTTCTTCCAAAGTCTTCCTAAATTATAAAGCTCCAAAATACAGGCCAAAAGAGAGCAAGTCTGGGAAGAGTGAGGCATACAATGGGCAGCACCAGTGAAAATGCCCTGCTCCATGTAACTCCTGCCCTGTCATTTGATAGAGTGCCCACTTGCCCTCCTTCTTGACATGGAATGCTCTCAATTGGAGTCTCCAGGTTCTAGTTGGTTAATTGGTTTGGCAACTACAGGAGAGCTATGATATTCAAGTGAGGGTGGTCAGATGCCTTGTCAATCCCCCCCCCAGTTTTTTTTATTCATTTTATAACACAACTAAACAACACAAACAGAAAAACAAACAATACAAACAAATTCTTGTCTTATCCTATTTTTTTCTAAACATTGTTAGGTGAGCTTCCCCAAGTCCCCCCATCTGATTTTCATTTTATGAGATGCCTTGTCAATCCCAGCAGGTATATAAGAGAACAACCCAGCCTGCCCAGGCCTCCAGCCTGCCCCCAGTACGTCACACAACCATGCACCCAAGAATGAAAAGAACAGTCAAAGTGCCCATGTGGACTAACCCTAACTCTTAGTAATCTGCTCTTCCCTAGAATTTCCGTGTACTTTGTACTCTCAGTGATATCATGCTTCTAATACACAGTACACCTAGGCTGCAATCCTATATTGAAAGTCTCACTGAGCTCAGAGTAACTTAGTTCTGTGTAAGATTGCACTGTAAATGTCAATCAGTGTCCATTTTTAATGACAGGCACCAAACCCCTTAGGAAACAGAGAGGATGCCAGTGGCAACTTTAGCTGCCCTTACAAATAAAACAAGAGCACAATCAAATCTAAAGTGACATCACAAGAACCATCCAGATAATTTCCCTTTCAGACGTTTCAGTAAAGGGCTGCAATAAAGACAATAATTATCTAAGAGTAGGAAATGGAGCAGACATAACCCATCTTTCATTCCAGTCTGAAGGCTGCAATTTCGTGGTTGTATTCCGTTCCTAATGCCATGCATTGACTATTAGCAGATTTCCTTTGCAGACTGGATAGAAGTGGATGTGTTTCAAAGAGGCTTCAGGAATGTCCCATATTCCTGGTAGCAATTTTTAGAAGCCTGCTCTTTTGAGTGACTGGCCTTTGAATGTCTTTAAAACAAGACCTGTCAAACAATCTGTGCTAGATCAGTTAAGTGAGTTATAGGGCTGAATGGAATGGTTGGAGACAGACTGCTTGCCCAGAGCCCTTGATCCAGTGCAAGGAAATCAATATCCTGCTCAATATTTGGTAGAGGCATCTTCAAATATGAGTGCTTTTTACACATGACGACATCTTCTCAAGTGGACCAGATATAAAGCGGTTACACAAAGAATCCTGGAGTGTGATCCTGCACTGAACAGATCACTTCGATTGCCCAAGTACAACATACTTCTCCTGGCTTGGCACAGCAGATATCATTGACAGTTTTCACCAGCATTCCATATACAGTGGTACCTCGGGTTACATATGCTTCAGGTTACATACGCTTCAGGTTACAGACTTCGCTAACCCAGAAATAGTACCTCGGGTTAAGAACTTTGCTTCAGGATGAGAACAGAAATTGTGCTCCGGAGGCGCGGCAGCAGCGGGAGGCCCCATTAGCTAAAGTGGTGCTTCAGATTAAGAACAGTTTCAGGTTAAGTACGGACCTCCGGAACGAATTAAGTACTTAACCCGAGGTACCACTGTAGATCTGAACAACAGCTGCAACACCTTGCAATTTCATGCTTACATTGAATCCCAAAGGAAAGTCTCCAGAGACCTGACAAGTACCTGTGGAATTTTATGGCTTTTTGAGCGCAGTCCTATGCATGAAGTAGGAATGGGAAATAAATTTGATTTGGTTCACATTTAAAGGTGAACCTACCTAATTTGCATGTTCTGAAACAAGAAGCGAATTAACATACAACTATCCTTCAAAATTCACACTTCTCCAACTTTTGCAACTCAGATCTCCAGCCAACAGAAGCAGCCAAGATGCTATGTTATAGTCTCCCAGTCCCACCCTCTGAAACAAATCCTGCAGGTAGAAGTGGTATAAACCACTGAGCCTCTTGGACTTGCCAAGTGAAGGTCAGCGGTTCAAATCCGCACAACGGTGTGTCCCAGCTTCTACCAACCTAGCAGTTCGAAAGCATACCAATGAAAGTAGATAAATAGGTACTGCTGCAGCAGGGAAGTAAACAATGTTTCAGTGCACTCGGGCATGCATCACCGTGTGCCAGTAGCTTTAATTTGCTGAAATGAGCTCCACCTCTGTCACTGAGCTGCTGTGATGTCTTGGAACGTTCATAAACATTCTAATGCTTAGTGTCATCAATAAGCTATCAACACAAAGGGCCTAGGAATAAAAGGTATGAAGTTCTATGGACGGGAAGGTAGGAATGACTGGGTGTGTTGAATTTCAAAGGTGAGCTATCATTTCTTAGGAGTGTTTTATGCATCACTTTCTGGTGACTGCATTGTTATAGGAAAGCATGCTTCTTAGTGCTGTGAAAGATGAGAAAAGCTGAGTTTAGAATACAACTCTCAGTGAATTTTCACAGCTTTCTACTTATTATTCTCTTTACCAAGGTACAGTAAAGGTTGCAATATTAAACAGTGGGTACATGGTAGTGGTAGAGAAATACAACATCCCATCCCTTTGACTACACAGAGTAGTCAAAGGGGCTTTTATGGGACTTGTTAGCATCCATGACACAATTTATTTAACCCGCCCTTTATTTGTATTATTTTTTCCATAGTCAGTTGCACAAAATCAAATTAGAAGAAGCAGTGTCCTTAACTAATCATTGATTCCTATGGTGCCCTCATTGGCTATCTAACACCCACACAGAAGACACTGGCAGCTCTTTGATACATAATTGATATGGCTATTGAAGATCATACGCAATATAAGGGATTTTTCCCCCCAAAGTTTTAGGCTTATATGTAGCCAAGGTTCTCTTCTGTATTGAATTTCCTCCTAAGCTGTGATCCATTCAAGCTGCCCTTTTCATACTGCTGAAAGCAGATTTGATTAATATGATTTGTCTGTGTGTGTATGTGAAAATATGAGACGATTAAGGAGTGGTGATGTGGGGAGCCCATGCCCTTTCTCAACATGACATTCTCTAGCATTATATAGAAGACTGTAGAGTCCTCCAATCTTTATAGTTTTCCTACTTTCTGCATCTGAAGTGGGGGTGGGATCTATTATCGGGGGGGGGTGTCATTTTTTTTTATTTCTTATTACTGTTCCACTATCGTGTCCAGGTCAACAAATCCACAGCTGCCTATTGATTTCACTCAGTAACAAGACAGGAAAGGCCAGGTTTCAAGGAATGGTTTGCAGATTGGCTTTTCTTTGTGTGAGAAGCTTTCTTGTGAGGACCCCTTAGAAAAAAAAATTAAGATTGCACAGATGTCCTCTGTGCTCAGTGAAGCAAAATACCAAGTCAATAAATTTACAGCCTGACACTTCTGGTAACCAGCTTCTGTCTCCATATACTGCCAGTCATGGAAACAATCTTCAGAAAAAAACTGGTGGTATGGTGGGAAATAGTTCAGTATTAGTTCAATAGTGTTTTCATCTACTTCACTGACCTTTTATGCAGCTGGTAATTAGAATGAACGTGTGGATATGGAGGCCCACATCATAGGAAATAGGGCTGCAGCCAGATTTCAAATTATTTATCCTCCAAACTGTGGTTTAGAGGGCTAGAGAAAAGCCCCATTCTTATGTGCATCCTCCTTTCATATGCTCCAGGTAATAGAAAAATTTCTCAATTGTGCAAAGCGTTGAATCCTAATTGACAATATGGTGTTTGTGTGAGCTGTTCAAAATTAGGCTGTAAACCTGTGTTTATACCGATGCATGCGCACAGAGAGACAATAAGTAATTTTCTTAATCAACTTTTGTGTATGTCCACATTTGATACCATCTAGTAAAAATATGCTTCTAAAGATGTAAATAGAGCGCTGCAGGATCAGGTCAAAGACCCATCTAGTTCAACATCCTTTTCTCATAATGGCCAACTAGATGCCTACAGCATTCTTCCCACTTGTGATTCCCTAACTACTGGCATTAAGAGGCATATTGCTTCTGACAACAGAGGTGGAACTCAGCCATCATGGTGGGTAGCCACTGATAGTCTTGTTCTCCCTGAATTTGCCTCATCCTCTTTTGGGCCATTACTACACATGTAATGGGGGAAAACTCCATAGCTTAATTATATGCAGTGTGAAGAAGTACTTTATTTTGTCTGCTCTAAATAGAAGTGCAATGATTGATTACTTACTTACTTACTTACTTACTTACTTACTTACCTACTTAAAATATTATAGTCCTATCCAGGCAGGGAGACCCATTTCTCTTTTAACTACTAGTGATTCTAGCATATTGTAGGAAGCTGCCATACAGATATACACTAAGGGACATTTGCAATACTACTGCAATAAAAACATTGTTTAGAATCTTTTAAATGTGTTGTTGGGTGAAGCAGGGGTTATTTGTTGGTTTTTGTTCTTGTTTTTATTATGTATTTTGTGTTTTTTATCTTGTATTTGTGAACTGCCCTGAGATCTATGGAGTATACAAAATAAATAAATAAATAAATAAATAAATAAATAAATAAATATTCTAATTGTCATATCAATAAATTTTAACCTACATAAGTTAACACGGCACTGTTTGTAGCTCAAGCTGGCATTTGCATGTCATGTTCAGAGAATGAGAAATCTGTGAATGTGGCTTATTAAGCAATGTGTAGCTGTAGAATGGGACGCGGGTGGCGCAGTGGGTTAAACCACAGAGCCTAGGACTTGCCAATCAGAAGGTCGGCAGTTCGAATCCCCACGACGGGGTGAGCTCCCGTTGCTTGGTCCCTGCTCCTGCCAACCTAGCAGTTCGAAAGCACATCAAAGTGCAAGTAGGTACCGCTCCGGCGGAAAGGTAAACGGTGTTTCCATGCGTTGCTCTGGTTCACCAGAAGCGGCTTAGTCATGCTGGCCACATGACCCGGAAGCTGTACGCCGGCTCCCTCGGCCAATAAAGCGAGATGAGCGCCGCAACCCCAGAGTCGGTCACGACTGGACCTAATGGTCAAGGGTCCCCTGACCTTTACCTTTAGCCTTAGAATGCAGTTCAATAAAAATCCACACAACAGAATTAACAATGAGCTCAAAGCAATGTATTTATGACAGACACTGGGCACATTCAGACAAAACACTGGCTGTTAACAATGGCTATTGCACAACCTCTGTGCTAGTACACACAACCCAAGCACTTCTGATTTGTTCTTCCCTTCCTCCCAGCCAGGAAACAAACCATGGAGTGGCTGGCTTGCTTGTGTTACATCTGAACCAGAGCACATGATTTATTTTTCTGCTGGGAAAAAGGGAGGAGCAATACTTTGATTCCTAAACATGAGTGCCGCTTCAGTTGTAATACAGTGATACCTTGGTCTACAACCATAATCTGTTCCGGAGGTCTGGTTGTAAACCAAAACAAGTTGTAACCCAAAGTGTGCTTTCACCAATGGGGCCTCCCCAAAAAATATGGGTTGTAATCCCCCCCAAAATGGGTTGTAATCCAAAAAAAGGGACACACACTTCAGGGTTTGATGTGGTTGTAATCCAAAACAGTTGCAAACCAAGGTGCCACTGTACTAAGTCAGTCACTAGCTTCGCCACTAAGTAGGAAGGAAGGAGCGAAGGAGGAATGTGCAGATTGTGCACCCTGATTATAGTGATTAGGTCCAAATGCAGCTAAATTTACAGTCCTTATTTTGACTACAGGAGATAAGGACTAATATTTGTAACCATGTTAACTACCATCACAGACTTTCAAAGATTATATATATTAAGAAATATATTTTAAAATCAGCTATTATTCATATGGAACTACTGTATTGGTATTAATTTCAGCATGAGAGATTCTATATTTTGTTATATATCCTCTTCACTTTCGATGGAAGAAAAGTCATGATATGATGCCACCTTCTGGATGAAATGAGAAGAAAAACTGTTTTTTCCCCTGCATCTTCATCTGATTTTAAACCTGGAATCTAGATTTAGCCAGATAAATATTTGAAATTTTGCCTCTTGTCATTTAAAATAGTATTTTGATAGATTTGTTAACGTGTACATGCACACAAAAAGCGTAATTATGATAATACTAGGTTTTTTAATAGACTGCATTATTGCTAGCTATGATCTTTTAATTAAATGATATAACAAAATACGTTCTCCATAAAACATTTTTCCTGTTTCAAATGCTTAACAATAATTCCTATAAATTCCAGAGTGATTACTGAGTATGAGTTCCACATTTTTACTTAGACAACATAAAATATAACTTTCTTCTGAATTCTCTCTCAAAATGGGCTAGAGTAGAAGGGCATGTGGGGGGGTTGGGGGGTACATGTGTAATTAATGCCGCGAGCACCTACATACCACATACGTACTGTGTGACCACCATGTGGAGCCCCTTTCAATGCAAATTGAGAAGACCTGTCCCTTATATCATCTGCATTGCAAGAAGATTAGGAGAATGTTCAATTTCCGTGCAAGAACATAGACACAGAAGAACTGGCCATTTGTAGCTTTAAGGAACAGGTCCCATTCTTCCTTGCTATTAACTAACTTCTAAACACTCAGATTTCCCAACTGATAAGGTTTTCTGGACAGAAACACTAGATTCAAGGTCAGAGATTGCTTTACTTTGCCCTGCAAAAACTATCAAGCAAACAACAATGAATCAGAATGATAGATTAAAAATAAAAATCACACTACATGCGTGGATTGGATTACAAATGGTAGGATGTCTATGTGATCAACAACTCCCCCCGTCCTCAGTGGCCACTGTTAATAACATACTGTAATTTTCATGGTCTATACTTTCTGTATTTCTTTTCCTTCTGACCTCATTGTTTACAATCCCTCCCCCAAACATGTATCTGCAACTCAGGACAACACTTCATGCATCTGATGACATGGACAGCAGCCCACAAAAGCATACGGCATAATAAATTTGTTAGTCTTTAAAGTAGTTAGTCTTGAGTGGTCATTCAACTTGAAGTGATGTCCATATTTCTGACTCTGTCTATGATTTGACCAAACTCAGCTTTTTATCTAGTAACCCACCATTGATTTTTACTGTTATATGTTATTCTGTATAAAAATTCTATTATAAACACTAAAAACCCACAAAGTCGCTTTGTTGCTTTTGCAATAATCTTAACACAGCTTCCCCTCCGGAAAGTATTCCTGCGGGGGATTCCTTCAATTTGGAATTGGTTTTTTGAGATGGCATAATCACATGCTGTAGATTCTGTAAAGTTTGTAAAAAGTGCTTTTGCGAAAGTCTCATAAAGTTACATGGGGTTTGCTACGCTCATTCACTCCCACCGAATCATAGTTCAGCTCAGCTGAAGAAAACACGGCCATTTAGTTTTCCAGATAGGCTGGGAATGGTTTCAATTACCTGATGTTGCGGTTCAATCCATCAGTATAACACTAAACACATCAAGGCTAGTCATGCCAGTAAAACAGTGGAATGTTTATGGGGAATTCAAGATTATGCTGCTATATTCTCTCCATGTAGCTGGCCATAGCCCTGTGCAAAATTGGGGCGGGGGATACAAGTGTTTGGCCACAGGAATCTACAAAAACTTAAATAAAAGAGGGAGGAAAGTCTAAGATTATGATAATATTTTTAAATTGTGTACAGTTTATTATATAGTTCCAGTCATATCAACATTATGTAAGGGAATACTCGGCTGGTTTTGTTTTTACCTTTATTCCAAGCCTGCCATACTGAATTATTATCACAAGGAATGTTGTAGACCTTCCATGTTTCTTCGTGTACTTTTATGGGCCTGTAGCAGTCTGAAGAAAAGAACATGCATTGTGTTATATTGAGCTCTTACGTTATGAGGACTAATTTGTAAACTGATGACCCCTTCTCATGATATGGCCACCACACAGATATCGCTTGAAACTCCATTACAGTACAACTGAAATTTTATTTCCTTTCATTTTGCATGACTAATAGCTTGGCAGCTGCGAGTGCAAGACATATGTTCCTAGTGTGAGGGATTGTTTAGCTTGTTACGCCTGCAACTGTTCCCTGAATTTGTTTCCAGAAGTCAATAATGAAAGGAAACTCAGCCAGATGTGTACATATATGCCACTAGTGTTACAGCTCCTCTGCATTTACCCTGGCCAACTCCACTTGCCTTCTGAACACAGAACAGCATTTCATGGTTTACTTTCATGCAAATATCTGAAGGAATTCGGAATCAAATACAGTACCGTGGTACCTCAGGCTAAGAACTTAATTCGTTCTGGAGGTCCGTTCTTAACCTGAAACTGCTCTTAACCTGAGGTACCACTTTAGCTAATGGGGCCTCCCACTGTCGCTGTGCTGCCGGCGTGCAATTTCTGTTCTCATCCTGAGGTAAAGTTCTTAACCCAAGGTACTATTTCTGGGTTAGCGGAGTCTGTAACCTGAAGTGTCTGTAACCTGAAGTGTCTGTAACCCGAGGTACCACTGTACCTCAAATGAGGGAACAGCCATATGAATCCACCAGTCTGTCCTCAATAAAGCTAGGGATTATTCTACAGTACTTGCAGAGCTTTTAAACTTCAGGTGGCCTGTAGTTTATACTTCCTCTTTGCTTCCCCTGTGTTAAACTTATTGAAGTATTGTTTATTTAAAGCATTTGTAACCCAGGCTTCAGCTAAAAAGGCTCCCAGAACAGCCTGCCCACAATCTAAAAAACACGACACGATGGAAAAGGGACAGAGAGGAAAGGGGGGTGGAATCAAACTCAGGCTCCAGTTGTTAAACAGTTGTTCTTATAATGACCAGCTTGTGTGATTCAGGAGTAAGAGGTGCCTGATACAGCTGGGGTTTTAGCAAAAATAAGATAGGATGAACCCTGCTTTCTATTTCTCCCACTGATGCAGTGTGACAAAATGGCTGCTCCCAGGTGACAGTTGTAAGGAGAGGAGGCCTGGTGGAGCTTCTTCTGGATAGAATAAGCTGTGCTTTCCATCTCTCCCACTGGAGGAACGGAATCCATCAATAAATACATTTTATTATTTTTTTTAGTAACATTGTAATCTTAGTTATGTCTGCTTAGATTTAAGTACAGTGGTACCTCTGGTTACGTACTTAATTCGTTCCGGAGGTCTGTCCTTAAACTGAAACTGTTCTTAACCTGAAGCTCGACTTTAGCTAATGGGGCCTCCCGCTGCTGCCGTGCCGCCGCTGCGTGATTTCTGTTCTCATCCTGAAGCAAAGTTCTTAACCCGAGGTACTATTTCTGGGTTATCGGAGTCTGTAACCTGAAGCGTATGTAACCCGAGGTACCACTGTAAATCCCATTCATTCAGTGGGGCTGAATCCCCACAGAATGTATATAGCAGGAGTTCCCAAACCAGTTTGCAAGCTTCATTCGGGTGCTCTGTGGTGTGTCTGTAAAAATGCACTTAAAAATCATATAGCATCTAGGACATCATTGCCACAACTGGCGAAAAATAAAAACCCTTTTAAGTGCTCTGTTTGGGGTGAGGTGGGAGCTTGGGGGACTATGGTGCAGGATTACATTCTAAATATGTTATTTTCTGTAGTATGCTATGACAGCAAGCACAAGGCTAGCCAACCACTGGCTGATTCATTTTCCCCAACAATACTTCTGTATTCTTGACCAGTTATCCTGAATTTTTCTCCAGTCATCCTTTCCAGTCTTCAATATGTAACACAGATAACATCAGACACAATAAGACTATTCATTTATGTTTTGCTCAACGGGGGGGGGGGGGGGGAATAAACAAAGATGTGTGTATATATTCCTCAAAAAAGCCATTACACAATTTTTGGTTAAAAAGAAATATTAAAGGAAAACTGGAATGGGTGGTCATATGGAAAAGAATCTAGTCCTCAGTCAATACGAACAAAGAGAAAAAGGAAAATGTGATATCTAAGGTGAGGGTCCTAACCAGCCAGTCAGCTCCTTGCACACTTCAGGCCTAGTCTGCCTAAATAATTACTTGTATCTTTCGTCAGCCTGCCTTAGCAGGGCCTCTTGGAGTTGCCCAAGGACCCCTACAATGTTTGCGGGACTTGCTACTTGACACCGCCTGCTTCCCCTTCAAGCCCTATGCCCTCATAGACCTGGGCAGGGTCACAGCCAAGCATAGTTATGGTTTTTAAACTAGCTGAAATAAATGACCTCAATCCAGAAAATCTAGCAAAGGCCCAAGTAACTACTTTAAAAATCCATGTCAGCTAGACATGACTAAGCCCCAATCTATTGTTTTCAATGGGACACAAGGCTGTTGATGGGGGGCGGGTTCCCGTCAGGGCAAAAAACAGCTTCAGGGTGGGTGTTATTTTCTTTGGGGCAACACCTTTCACCATGCCATTGCCTGATACAGCTGCCTTCTCTCCCTCCTTCTTTGCCTCATTCTCTTTTTTCTAACCTATCTGTTGGTTTAATTTGGTAAAAGGAAAATGATATGTGGTTAAAATAAAAAGGAGAAGCCTGGATTCCTAGATTCAGGTTTGGAGCAAGTGTTCTTTGGTGAGAAAACCCCAGCAGAGATTAAAAATTACAAAATATGCAGCAAAGCAGAGCATGGAACTATAGGCTGTTTGACCTTTAAAATACAATACCCCCTTCTAAGTTTCTTCCAGAGTTCCACACTTCCCTTAGCATAGAAAAAGACCATATTTGGTAACTTTAAAATGGTTTACTTACAAGCTCTTCAAAGGACAGATTCATGTGCTTTTTCCACATTGCTGCAAGAAAAGACAGGCAGTATAACTTAGGTTTCAAAATGGGAAATGTTTCTAAATTATTTGTATAGAAACACAAAAATGGTTTGCTTAAGCTATGCAGACTAAGCTTGGAGCATCCACCTTAGGCCTCCTTACTGGTAGGATTCACAGGGTGGAATGGGAGAACAAAGAGTTTGTTAATCCTTACTCCCAAGGTGAGGGGAATCTGTCTGCATCCTAAATTGATGTTCTACCAATAAGTTATAGCTTTCCCCCAAGGATGAAAAAAAATGCTTAGAGGGGAAGAGCATATGATAATGTTCATGTTTTCAATGTTCCTAGGACCGTTTCTTTGGACTGAACTTTCAGGGAAGGCAATTATTTAATTTTACAGCTAGCACCAAACATATAAGCTATGGAAAGACATGTTTATTGCATCTCCGAACATTGGATTATTGTTTTGTTTCAATGATTCTTGACAGAAAAATGACAATCAATTTTATCTTCAAAGTTTGCCCTATAGTGCCCTCAAAGTTATAGCATTAGTTGAATACCAGCCAAGATGTTCGGAGAAGCAGTAATTCACGGAATCAGCACATTTAAATTATTAATGGAACACGTAAGCTGGAAAGATCTGCAAATAAACTGTTACTCTGCCCTATGGAAGTTAGATTGGCTTCAACCAGAGCCAGGGCCTTTTCAACTCTGGCTCTGGCCTGGTGGAACGCTCTGCCTCATGAGACCAGGGCCCTGCAGGATCTGATTTCTTTCCGCAGGGCCTGTAAGACAGAGTTGTTCCGCCTGGCCTTTGGCTTGGAGCCAATTTGATTCCCTCCCTCCCTCTCTTTTTTCTTTTCCTTCTCCTCCTGCGATGAGGCTACATTTTAATATTTTAATGTTCCATTATTTTAATGTTGTATTTTATTTTTGTTTTTAAGTTGTAATCATCTTGTTTTTATTATTGCTTGTAAGCCGCTCTGAGCCCGGCCTTGGCTGGGGAGGGCGGGGTATAAATAAAAATTATTATTATTATTATTATTATTATTATTATTACTCTGAGAATCAAATGAATCGCTCACAACTATGAAGGAACAAGAAGGTTGAAAAATACACAATAAGTCAAAGTACCATGAGCAAAGGGACTTGGGGATTCAGGTCAGGTCATCGAGTTCAACTACAAACCATTCTTTGTCTTTTATTCTGAGTATGATTCCTGGTAGGGTCTTTAACATTTCAACAATGACACCATCTCTCTCTCTCTCTCTCTCTCTCTCTCACACACACACACACACACACACACACACCCTTGTAAGACCCTCTTTAGTAATCTATGAATTCTGGTAATGCCTTTAAATGGAAGTGATATTTCAAGGCAAGTTATTTACTGTCCAATTACAACACAGTTGTGATGCTCACAGTGCCATAGACAAAATGAAAGGAATGAGAATTTAAAACGGGGTGGGGCAGGGAGACCTGTGGCCGTCCCAATGTTGCTGCTCCTATCATTCCTGATCATTGGCCATTCTGGATGGGGGGAAATGGGAGTTGGAGTCCAGCAACATCTGGAGAGCCGCAGGTTATTTATATTTATATATTTATAAATACTAAGTAATTTCGTTGTCCCCGAAGGGGGCTATGACAATAAAGATATTATTATTATTATTATTGTTGTTATCCACCCCAGATTTAGAATAATATCACAGCACCATTATATGCTGTTTATTCGGAGACACATCCCACTGGGTTCAGTGGGACTTAAACCAGAGTACAGTATGTGTATCTAGGATACAGCTTTTCCTCATGCTTTTCCATCATAAAGTTCTGAACTATGGCCCTCCCTCCAGTTCTGCTTCTAGTTCACTTCCTGGCATAGGCTTTGACGTGAGTCAAACTTTCAGAAAAGGTACAATGGGAAAGTCCTAATAGGATCACCACTGCAGCAAGTGTGTTTGGATACTCCCAACATCAAAGAAGCAGCGTGTCGTGACCATACATATGCTTTCTCCCTAAATCTGTATCAGCCCTCAAATCACAGGTGTCTCAAGGCTTCGTTACACGCAAGATTATTTCCTTCACACATATCGTTCCCACGAAAGAAATTGCATAAATCAAGCATGTCCAAAGTCCGGCCTGGGGGCCACTTGCGGCCCCCGGGCTGGTTTCAAACAGGCCCCCCAGGCAATTTTGAAAAAGCAATCTCTTGCGGCCCCCAAGTGCCTGCCCACCAAATCCAAATAAGTCCGACTACAAGGCTTCACTAGGGAGGCAGACAAGGTGGATGTGCTACTGGTGGTGCTGGGAAGTTGAAAGTGCATGCGCTTACTTGCCATTAGAACGTTTGTTTACCAATGCTTATATGATTGGCTAGAACGTGCCTTGTAACATAAAAGGTGTTAAACCCAATACAAAACAAAGTGGCACTAATAAATAAAAGTTCTAGGGTGGCAACAGAAAGCAAACTAAAAATGCTTTTGCAGTTCATCAAAACTATCCAGCAATATCAAGTTATAGGAAAACTGGTGCTATAACAGTAATCCTTCTAGCTGGTTAATTGGTTTGGCAGCTACAGGAGAGCTATGAGATTCAGGTGAGAGTTGTGAGATGCCTTGTCAATCCCAGCAGGTACAGCGGGTTACATACGCTTCAGGTTACAATACGTAACACATATGCTTCAGGTTTCAGACTCCGCTAACCCAGAAATAGTACCTCGGGTTAAGAACTTTGCTTCAGGATGAGAACAGAAATCGTGCAGCGGCAGGAGGCCCCATTAGCTAAAGTGGTGCTTCAGGTTAAGAACAGTTTCAGATTAAGAACAGACCCCCAGAACGAATTAAGTTCTTAACCTGAGGTACCACTGTATATAAGAGGACGACCCGGCCTGCCCAGGCCTCCGGCCTGCGCCTGTCTGTCAAGCCGTGTGTCTTGAATAGCTCCCTGAGTGTGTTTATAGTCGCTCTAGTGGACACGGTTGAGGTTGGCACTATCTCAAGCCACTTGGACTTAGAGTCAACCACTATTAGGAAGTGTTGGCCCTGAAAAGGCCCCTCGAAATCCACGTGCAACCGGGGCCATGGGGACTGTGTGGACTCCCAGGATTGTACTGGTGCCTTGGGTGGATCTGGCAGGGAGACCTGGTAGGGCTCGCAACGTTTCACCCAGCCCTCTATCTACGCATCTATGCCTGGCCACCACACATAGGTACGGGCCAATGCCTTCATCCGGATGATCCCTGGGTGAGTCACGTGCAGCCCTTCTAAGACCCTTTTTCTTAACGGGGGGGGGGGGCTCCTAAAAAAAGCTCAACAACTTTGGCCAGCCCTCACGCATGCTCACTTCATCAAATCTGGCCCTCTTTGAAAAAAGTTTGGACACCACTGAGGTAGATGATCTGAGCTAACACGGATACATAAGGGCCCTCTAGTGGTACAAAACCAGAGAGAGGAGGCTCTAATTTAAACAATGATAGCAGGAACATTTAGAGCACTGGGGCAGAGACTGAACATTAGTTCTCTATACACATACATACCATTTCTGCTGCAGTTGGAGCCTTTAGAAACTGCACCAGAATATGTGATAAAGTGGGTGAGCATGTGAAAGGTTATCTGCTGCAGGATGTGTTCTGCCCTAGGGAAAATGAAAGCCCCTTGTTTCCACAGTGGGCGAGTATATTTCTGCAGCCACCTCTCTCTCTCTCTCTCTCTCTCTCTCTCTCTCTCTCTCACACACACACACACACACACCTCTCAAAGCAGCAGAAACATCCAGAGTTCCAGAGTTGCCCCTACTATTAAGCTGAATGAGGCAGCTGCCTCAGGCGGCAAATGTGGCGAGGTAGGGGATGTGTACAGTTCATGCCACATGACCACCTAAGCTAGCCCGCTGCCCTCAGGAACTATGTAAGATACTGTCCCATTACCAGTTTTGAAGTAAAATTCAACAGCAGTCTGGCTGGCTTTTCTACATGGCCTGTAGAAGGAACTACCAAAATGCCTTGGGCTGGTCCTGTGGGGCACAGGGGTAGAAACTGAACATCAGCACACACACACTCTTTCTGTTGGAGTACTTGTGCTAGAACAGTGGGGAATGAATCATATGCTGTGTGGTTTGCTGGAGCTGTCCCCCTGACACTGGTGCCACCAATACTTGGATGGGCCTGGGATATGGCAAGGCAACAGCAAGGTTAGCGCCACATGGGTTCATCAACAGGAGTGTCGCCAAGCAATTTGACACATTTGCTGGTACATCCACACAGCCCCAACCTCACCCCCAGCCTGGCTATATGCTACCAGACACCCCACTATAACTGCGATAAATCTGGTTGCTATTTCCTGTACTTAGCACTCTTATGACCTGGCTGCCAGTAAATATTTATTAATATTCATACCTGACTGCACTTTTCATTTCTGACTGGGGCTTATGCATGGAGAAGGGGATTTGTTTCCACAATACATTGCATTGTGGATAAAATAAAGGAGCTGCAATAGTATATGTGATATTTTATTGTGTAAATCCTTAGCTTCTAGTTTCAATCATATCAGCTTTAAATTAAAAAGTTCCAGAGAACTGTTAAACCTGAAAATAAGCTTGCTTTGGGGGGCAAGGGAATCTTTGATCGCTCCAGTGTTCCGACATTCTGCATTTAATTTAGTGCGGATAAATTAAATTTTTGCCGAGCTGCATATTTCAACAGCACAATTTTTCTTGAATTTTTAGGGCAAATTATTTTGTGATAAAGTGTTTGCAGGAAGCTACATATCACTGTGAAGGAGATCCCGATATGGTCAGGATTTATTATTAAAAGGCCAGTATGAGATCTTTTAAAGATGCTGAAAGGGCTGGAGGCAGAATGATGCCCCCCTTGCTTTCTGTTGTCAGTTAAAAGTTTGTTTGCCAATACTGAAATAAACCCTCAAAGCATGAGGCTTGGGGCAATGGCACCCATTGCTTTGCAAAATCCATCACTTTTGCTGAATGTATGCTGTTCTGTTCCATTTGGAACGGTTTTGTGTGTTTTGTAATTCTGTAACCTGCCCTGGAATCTTGTGGTGAATGGTGGGTAAAAAAAATACTACAAATAAATATTACTTAAATGCAACTGACATTTATTATCTAGAAGTCTGACAGATTATAGCGAGCAAGAATAGTGATGAATGATATACTCTAAGACAAATGCCAACAGGATTCTCTATGAAAGCAAATTACGTATTTTCAAGTTCGTTTTCAAGATCAGGAGCGTCAATGAGTCAGAAGAGGAGGGAATAGACAGCCTTCTTTAAATCTTCATTTGGTCTATATTGCCGGATATCTGCAAAACTATCTCGCATAGACAATGCAGAAGTCAGGAAAACTCATGGTCTGTGCAAAAGGCATGCTGCGTAATCTCGAGATACCAGATGTGCTTTCAATTCATCAAAACCATGGCAAATTGACTCTCTGACAAAACAAGTGCAGATGTGTTCTTAATCGCCCAAGACTGGCTTGTCTTCAATCATCCAGCATGGATTCTGCATGGATTCCACACTAACTTTATCTCTTCAGCAAAGACAGCAGCAGGGCATTTTTCATAGGTTCAGAGTGTGTAGCTTGGGATTTGTTTACGTTCCAGTTCCTTTGATCTTCCAGCTGCTCCCTGTTCCTTTACTGAATCTCCACAAATTTTCTTTACATACCTGTTTTCACTGTGGAGACTTACTGGCATGAGAAATTTCTCTGCGTGGATCTCTCTCACAGAACACATTGAGCCTGTACGTTGGAACAAACAGCATCAATCAGCTGTGTGATCCAAGTTTTAACAATTTTCTTTCCGTGTTGTGTATTTCCTTTTACAAAATAAGTTAATTTTACAGTTATGGCTGTTTTTACTTAATAATAATAATAATATTTTATTTGTATCCCGCCCTCCCCGGCTGAGGCCAGGCTCAGAGCGGCTAACATCATAAAAAAAACACAATATGCATAAAAACAGACATCAATTAATTAAAATACATCTTAAAATTAATTCAGACAAGTTAAAATCTGGGCAGGTGGCAATTATCAGGTTGGAAATGAGAGTGGTTAATACTTGCCAGGACCAACTGTTTCCACTGATCATACAAGGACCTGTGAGCGGGTTGAGGGCCTGCTTCTGGCTTGTTTTATACAAAACAAAGTCAAACTGCATCCTGCCCAAAGGCCTGGTGGAACAGCTCTGTCTTACAGGCCCTGAGGAAAGATGTCAAATCCCGCAGGGCCCTGGTCTCTTGTGGGAGAGCGTTCCACCAGGCCGGGGCCACAGCTGAAAAGGCCCTGGCTCTAGTCGAGGCCAGTCTAATTTCCCTAGGTCCCTAAAAATAACAGCACTGACAAAGGACATGTTGGGGACTAGCAAGATGTTGACAATTCTGACTCAGGAGAGGGGATAAGTGGTTTGTGGGGACCTGTACCAGCCAGGAGGCAAGAATCAGAGGTATGGGAAGCTTCAGAGCTGGTGGAAGAGGCACACCAGGCAAATGAAGGGCCAAGTGCTTCCTCACCCTCTCCTGAACCACTATCTCCCAGAACCAGGAGAGAACTGAAGAGGGTGGAGCAAAGGCAGTTTCCACAAGGGCATTGTCTCAGGCTGAGTGCATGCAGGCCTTTGGGGGAAGGTACATAAACTGGTGGAGGGGAAGTGGTCCCCTGTTGCTGCAACTGCCCCATAATTGAATACCTGGGAATACCTGCCTAGATGCTACACAGGTGTAAGTATTCAGAACTATAGAAGTGGCTGTAAATGTTATCTTTGACAATTAAGACTACAGTACAACTCCCATCAGTCCCAGCCAGGAAAGTATTTTTTTAATTTTTTTTTACAGTAACTGGGCAAGTTTCCTGGTTAGGGAGATTGGATGTCCCGAATGGTCAAGGGAATAATTGCTTGCAGCCAAACTAAGTATGCAGAGATTTTTGAAATGCAATTTGGTTCAGAAATAGAGGAGTGATAGAGAAGTATTTCCCCCCCTGCTCTGCTGTGATTCGGAGGAAAGATGGGGCAGAAAATTTTCTGTGGAAAACATTCCATTTTCAGATATAAATCACCCTAATTAGCATAGGACTGTCACGGCTAAAATGGCCACTGTTTCTTTAATGCGAATAAAGCTGGGTCAGCATGACTCAGCGGCCTGCACCAAGTTGTATATATAAGTGAGAAATGTTAGTTTGTTGCTGAGGCTGGAGGTTGGGTTGGTTGGTTAGTGCTGGTGTGTATAGTTATTCAGTCGTGTTTTGCACAAGGACTTTTAAGAATAAAACTCTGCAAGGATATTCTCGTGGATTCTTTTTGTGCCGACAAGGGTCCGAGGACCAGGCTGAGGAGACAAAGGGAGGTCAGAACCCTTTCCTTCTTTTTTTTTTGCTTTTTACAAACACTGACAAGGACAAGTTTCCAGAAAAGTTAGCAATTCAAAATTTTCAAGAAAACTGCCACCACTTAGGCATCACTTCTTCCAACTCTTCTCTGCCAGGAGTTGTACAAAGTGCCAGCACAGCAAGCACTTTCAGCTAACAAATTTACTTCTTCCATCTACTGAAAGCTCTAGAAATGCAAACTTTATGAAATGTGTCAGCAGTGAATTCCATGATGGCAAAAACAAAATAGTTAGAGGACTCTTTATATAGCTATAGCTATGGCAATTCCAGCCGGTGGCAGATGTCCTTGTCTCATGACTCTTCCAAGTCGGTTTTTTAAAAAAAATATTATTTTTAAGGAACATATGGTGCACACCACAAAATAAATGTGTGGGGTTTTTTTTTCCTAGGGGGAGGTGAAAGCCTCCAGTGGTTTGATTATTACAAAGACTGCCAAAAAATAAGTTTTACCTTTGTTAGAGGGGGGCAACCCTGTGCAAACCTTTGTTAGGCTCGAAGCTGTGTTTTGTGTTGTCTCCTTCCATCACCTCAGAAACAAACATGAATAATTAGCATATTTAAAAGAGAGACCATATGCCCAGGATTCCTGCTCTTGGCTTTCAGCTTCATAGCTCCAGCTCTTAACGTTGTTCAGTCCTCTGAGGCACTAGCAATTGGATATAATCCCCTTCTGTGTGTTCCTTGTTGCTGCCAATCTCCGCTCCCTATAGAACCTTCACAGTTCATTTCCTTCTGGCAAAAGCGGTTCACATTTATTGCTTCTGTAGCTCTGTAGTCCTTATTTAGGAACAGAGGAAAATAAGAAACTGCCAGTCCTGGGAACATCTGCATGTAAAGCAGATGCCCTACCAATGAACTATGGTCTTTCCTCAAAATTACAGGAAGCCTTAAATAAAAGACTTATGTGCCGCTTTTGAGGATAAACTCTTTCAAAATGGCATGCCATAAAACACTTAAACACAGCTCTGTTTGTACTTCCCTGTTTAGTGTGCCCTTGGTGGCACACTCAGGTTTGCCTGATGTTTGAAATGGTCCCAGAGCAGCAGTCTAAGAGCTGTAATAAAGTAGTATTAGTCTAGAACTATCCAATGCCTACAATAGCCCTGTGGTTACACTTCCATGCAGAGGGCAGGAAAAGTGGGCAGTCATGTGCTCCCTAACAGCTCGACATGAAAGGTTGCGATGACCTAGGAGTAAGCCCTACTGAACACTTGCTCACTTCTGAATTAAGAATGAATAGATTTGTGCTGGGTTCAGCTGTAACACAAAACCATTTGTTTAGCTAACCACACTTTGTTTTAATGTCTGACCCGCCCCTGAGCCACCACAGAAATTGTGGTTTGATGGGAACAAAATAGGAACAGAAACCACAGCTTGAAGCTGTTTTACATAACACTGTACCAAATGAGGTTTGCCATTTTGTCTCAACTCACAGGCCACTGACAATCCAGATAGGTCCTATGTACCATGGAGATGGGAGTCAACTTGCGAAGCAAAGCGCTGGGCAGATAGAAAACAAAGATATACGACTCCAAACCATAGTTTTCCTGTTGTACGTCTGTAACTTATATTAGTACAGTGGTACCTCGGGTTACATATGCTTCAGGTTACAGACTCCGCTAACCCAGAAATATTACCTCGGGTTAAGAACTTTGCTTGAGGATGAGAACAGAAATCGTGCAGCAGCAGCGCAGCGGCAGTAGGAGGCCCCATTAGCTAAAGAGGTGCTTCAGGTTAAGAACAGTTTCAGCTTAAGAATAGACCTCCAAAACGAATTAAGTTCTTAACCCGAGGTACCACTGTCAGGGAACTGGAGTCAGAGAAGGAGGAGGGAATGGGAACTTACCGGGAGAAGGTCCCTTTAATAAGCAGCTGTTCGTCTTCGGACGAGAGAGAAGACAAAGGGGGGTAAGAGGGAAGTGAATCTGAGAGAGAGGAGGTACTTCCTGGGCCAAGCACCTCTCGTCAGAGAGGAAGAAGGGGGGTTGGGCTTAGACGTTGGCTATGCTGGCCCAAAGGCGGAAGGAAGCCAGTCGGGACAACTGACCGACCATGATGAAGTCACATTTTTGAACTGCTTGTACATAGCTTCAAAGAGGCAATAAATCTTGTAAATATGGCTGGATTCCCGGACTCTTATCTTCGCTAAGCACTCTCAACTCCCTGCCTGACAACCACTGTACAAACCATGGGTTTAGGGTACAGCTCAACCCATCCAAGGAACTTTCTACACATAAATTGTCTTCTAAGAAACTGAAATACAAGTTGTTGTCTTTAAAAAAAAAAAGCATTGTGAATACATAAATGTATTTAAAATACCAATACACATTGCTTTGCAGTTCCTATAATTATCACACAACAATCACCAAGTCAACATTTACGTCACTCAAGAATTTGACTCGCCATCTCCTTTGAAGTCCTCTAAATGTAGAATCCATGTTTTACAGATTAAGTTTAAAAAAACAAAACTTCACATGACAAATTTCTCATAAGCAAGCAACTCCCCTGCAGAGAAAGAAAACTATGTACATTTTTTTCTAAGGAAAAAACAGTATGAGGACCTCTCTAAGGATTCCAGGGGAGAAGAGTGTCTAAGATTAGCTCACTATGATTTGTCTGATGCATCCTGTTTCAAACAAACTTCTGTTTCTTCAAGGATACAATATGAGTTCTAATCACCCACAGGAATATAATTGCTTAGAATTTATAGTCAAAAGGGTTGTTTAAAAAAAGCTTAATAGATTATTTTTTACCACTAAAGGCCAACACATATTATTCCTGACTGTTTTTGCAGCATGGTGCATACTTCATACATACCAGTAATTAGTAGCAGTAAATTGTAGGGTGAATTATTCCCCAAAGACTTCCATCCTTTCATCTTGTGGATGTTTTAACCACAAGAGAGCTTGCCCTTTCTAGCTGTCAATTAGTCATATATATTTTTTCCACTTGATAGCTATTGCCACCATATATCATCTTCATTTTAACATCATAGTAACTGTCAAAAGAAGTTCTGGGTTCAACTGATAAAATTCTTCATGGAAATTTCAGTTAATGGGTGGGCTGAATGTAAAGTTGTTGTTTTTTAAATTATTTAATTAAATCATGCTCCTCCCTTATAAATTACGTTCCCCCCAAAGACTCTTTTTATTGTCCCATTGATTTATTATTTTAATTCACTCTAAATACCAAAAAGAAAATAGCTGCTATTCTGCCTACCATGTTTCAGTTTCATTTTTGTTCTGTATAAAAATTTACATTTCCTTAAGTGGCCATCAAAGGCAAGGGGGGTGGGGGGTGGAATTACATAGAAAAGCAACATTCATTTTAAGTTTAACCTGAGCCAAGAAATACATAGGCAACTTAATACAATGCTCCATTTAAAAGAGCAGGAAAGAAGCACAATAAATAGTAAAACATACATTCAGCAAAATCAAGTAATAGTGATTCATTGCTACTGCATCATTTCAGCTATCAGGTTAGAAGGCTCCATGTTTAAATAAATCAATGTAGAAATGTAGCATATCAGGGAGCATATGTAAAGATATTCCTAGATTTGAAGCGCATCCATTCACCAGATCCTATTAAAACCAACACTTTTGAAAATTTAGAATAGCCACAAATAGTTATTAATTCAAAAAAAGTACTGCAAGGCTAAATTATTTTTAACCTCAATACCATTTATTTATTTCTTCCGTTTTGCTTTCTGTTTCTTTGGTCACATAAGGCAATTAAAAAAATATTTATTATGTACATTGTACAGGCAGCAACCATTTTGCACCTGGGTGCAATTTCTGGCCCCTACATGGGTTGGTGGAGCATGCATAAGAAGTCCATTTGCCTCCATTAACCCCCCATGCCCCCATTTGCCCTCTTCTGGGTCCCAAAAGACCCATGCATTGGTGGTTGCACATCAATTAGAGCCGTGCAAAATTGTTGCTGCCTGTAACTTTTCCAGTTTTGCTTCAAATCGTTGTTTACTTAACGCAAGAATTCCAATCCCATGGATTTGAAAGTTATAGCCTAGCTTTCCCAGCTCATCAATACGGTTACTTATAGTTTTGATGCTTTTGTCCAGAACTAGAGGACTTTTCAGTATTAGATTAATGTTAATATTTGCCTGCAAGAGGCAATCTATTTTATCATTCAGGTTCTGTGGAGAAAGGTATAGAATGCGAAGGTGCTTAAGGACAAACATATTTGCCTCTAGTTCAGTGCACCCATGAGACAACAGCTTCTCTTTCACGTTTGCAAGTGTCTTTTTTAGGTATTCATTAGAGAGATCCAGAACATCACCTCCTTGCCCATGCAACAGCGTTAGAAATTCCTTATTGCTCAGACTTAAAGATGACTGCAGAAACTGAACGTTTGCTTTCACTTGCTTGCTGCTCCGTAAGAGGATAAAGACATTTTTAGAAATTATCTGTTTTACAAAGTCATCTGGCTTTTCTCCACCTAGATCTAAATAGATGTCATTCAAGAGGCTTATCATTTGTTTATTGAGCTCTATACTGTTAGAAAACACCCTTGGAACTCTGGTCAGCATGTTGCCAAGATCCTTAGAAGTCAGCCCAATAGAACAAAATAAGGTAATGTTCTTCTGCATGTTTTCATTATTCCCAGAACGGAAAAAGGATTCAGGGGAACGTTTCAGGATTGTTACAATTTCCATGTCGGTCATCAAAATGCTTCGCCAAATTTCCCAGCGTTCTTTCAGAGACTGGTGTGAGCGAGTGATGGCACGTGGATAACGTGATATTATACTGGCAATGGCTTCTCTGTTAGCCCCTTTTCCTTGCAAAAAAATCTTCAGGCCATCTTCATTGGTGATCTGCCTCTTGAGAACACCAGGCTGTCGTTTTCTTACCATTTTGACATCCACGCCCATACCAGCCAGATTTTTCACTAAAATGTTGTTCTCCTTGTCCAATTCATCACTGGAGCTATCAATCTTAAGGCAAAGAAACCTGGTGGAATCCCCTCTGAATATAATGTCTGTAGACAACTTGATAAGCCAAGGTAAATTCATGTTGAAAAGCAGTTTATTTTTCATGTTCACCAGCCCTCTCATTGCGATGCTAACCAGGCACTGCAAATCTCTGAATAAAATTGTACTTCCAGTCAGTTCAGAATCTTTAAATAAGAGACAAGGAGAGAGAATTATAATAAACTGTAAGGAAGCATTCATGAACAACCTGTTCATAACTTAATTTGTTTAACACATTTTAAAAAGATTCGGATTCATTGTAAGAATGAATTAAATGTTATCAATCCCCTTCTAGATGGGTTATTATTTTTTGTGTGGAGTGCGTATTGTATGGGTTAGAAATGTCTGAGAACACTCCTTGGTGGAATGAAGGAGTACCAGAGAGGGGCACATGAAATTCCACTCATCAATTTGCATTTCTTAGTACAGAAAGTATTGATCTGATGTATAGCGATCTCTCCTATTCTGATTAATTCAAGAGGGTTCTAGAAGGCTTTCTTTCTATGTGAAAGAAAGAGGTAGGTTTTTGTTTGGGTTATATTCCTTCTGGGAAGCTGAGTACAGCTGGTTTAAACTGGTTGTTATCTTTCTGTCAAGGTTGTGCTGACTATAATAGTAAGACCAGGAGGAGCCTGGGTCACACTTACATTCTCTTTCTGTCCCTTTGTTCTGGTGTTCTGTATGCTATAGAGTTAAGGCTTAGTCTTATAAGCTTGTAAGTTTTATTGTAAGTGCTACAACTGGAATCTTTTTATGGACTGTGCCAATCCTGAATATATTGGGTTTGTGACCATTATGCTCATTTGCCTTCAGTAGCAGGTAAAGCTCAAGTACAATTGCCTGTGGTCTATTTTTTGGAATCTCTGCTACATGTTTAACTTTTTTCCTCCCCAGTGGAAGAAGCTGGGCGACACCTTGGGTGAGTCATAGGTGAGAGATAGCAACCTGGGCGAGAGCCATATTGCTATCTAGGAGAGTACATCTGTGGATAGATGGATGCTACATGGTTCTGTCAGTGTCTCCTGGTATTTTTGCAGTACATTTTAGTAGAGTGGATAAAGTCTTAGCGGTTTGATGATGGAGAGGGAAAAACTGTAAAGAATGGGTGGGTGGTGCATGTATACATACGTATTGGTGGATGAGTTGAGGGTGTGGGAATTAGAAAGGGATGAGTACTGGGTGCTGCATGATTTGTGTTTACATAGTTTGAGTGATTTGGGTAGGGAAATTAGTTGGGAGTAGGCACAGGATATAGCTTGGTGTGAAGAATATGTGAATGCTGAATATTGTGAGTGAGGATGCGCCTTAGCAAGAGGCTGAGGGAAGACGGAAGGGATGGTATTCCTATCAAGGTAGTTATGAGGAAGAAGGTATGGATGGAATTGGGTGAGGTCCAGATGGCTGCAGACTGTGCCCCTTTCCAACCTTCCATCCACCTTAAAGCAACTTAGTGGCCCAGCTACTGAGTAAGTTAAGAAGTTTTCAAACTGTGCTACTCTGTTTTTGCTTTTGAAGGACTTTATTGTTTCATCCAGTGTTGTAACTTTATCAGTTTCATTGTTTGTTTAATTGTGTGCATATATATTTTATCCTGTAAACCGCTTAGAGGCTGTTCTCATACAACTTCAGAATGATTATACCTGTCTTGGCGATAAATACTAGCCACACAATTATTTTTTTTTACTAGCCTTCTAGTATTTGAGCAAAGGTAGTGGAGGTTTATTTAAAAAATAAATATAGTGAAATAAACAGTAAATTACATTTGTCCTAACAAACCAGACTAAGGGCACAGTCCTAACTCCTTTGCTAATGGGAATTCTTAGTAAAATGGTTCAGATTTAAGTGTATATAAAATTGCAGCCATAAAGTAATACAGTGGAACCTTGGTTCTCAAACTTAATCCAGTCTGGGAAGAAGAAGAAGAGTTTGGACTTGATATCCCGCCTTTCACTACCCTTTAAGGAGTCTCAAAGTGGCTAACAATCTCCTTTTCCCTTCCTCCCCCACAACAAACACTCTGTGAGGTGAGTGGGGCTGAGAGACTTCAGAGAAGTGTGACTAGCCCAAGGTCACCCAGCAGCTGCATGTGGAGGAGCGGGGAAACGAACCCGGTTCACCAGATTACGAGTCCACTGCTCTTAACCACTACACCACACTGGGAGTCTGTTCAACTCCTGGTGCAGCTTCCGATTGGCTGCGGGAGTTTCCTGCACTCAAGCAGAAGCCGTGTTGGACATTCGGCTTCCGAAAAACGTTCAAAAATCGGAACACTTACTTCCAGGTTTTCAGTGTTCGGGAGCCAAAACGTACAAGTACCAAGGCATTCGAAAACCAAGGTACGAATGTATACAATATTAGTCGTGTTAAGAGTAAACCCACTGAAAACAATGGACATAAGTAACAAAGGGTCTATGGTGCACTCACACTAATGAGATACTTTTAATGAGAAGCAGAGATGACAAGCAGTTTCCTCTCTCTTTTGCATCCTCCCAAAGTGTTCTGCTGTAGTTCACTGCAGATGCACAATTCACACCAGCAAAGAGGAGTCACAGAATTATACATGAGTACGTACCCCCACATTTGGATGCTGGGAAAGACTCTAGCCAACCAACCGTGCGGTGTCCTGACTGCTTGTCCCAATTGCATAGCACTCTCTGTTCATAAACAGGAGCTCACATGTTGGGCTTCATTTTCACACAATACATGTGTGGCGTTTGCCTGTTCTTTTGGAAATGTCTGTACAGGGGGAGAGAAAGGGTTAATAGGTAGACCAATAGAAAAGCCAGAGGCAGAGCCTACATGTTTTTAAAAGGCTTAGCCAGAGGTTTTAGCCAGTTGGGAAAGCAGTTGGAAGACAGATGGAAATAGAGTTAGCGCAGTTGGTTCTTCTGTGAGGGGAGGTAGAAGAGTTAGAGACAGGATAAAATAAGACTAAGAGGGTAAAGTGTAACAGCATTTTGAATGCATTTAAAATTTATTTGTGTTTGCAATAACTACAGTCTTCGATGTTAACTTGAGAACCCAGCTGAGACTAAGTGATTTACCGGGGAGAACCTGGCTGGTGGCAGATTAGTGGTGTACGGGTCAATAGTCCGTGAAACGACCGGGGGCTCCGTACGAAAGTCACAACATGCTTGCTGGAAGGAGGGTAAAATAAATGATGTTGTGGGTGAGACTAAATGCATAGCCTTGATCCTCACTCTATACTATTAATTCTGTGGTGGTCATATCAGTAGACTGGTTTTTATAAAGTGTGATGCATTAAACTGAGTGGCTACCAGAAAGGAATGTTTTGTTGCGTTCTAAATTGTTGACTTTGCATGCTTTTATATTATGATATCACATTATAAATGTACTAGGTTACCAGTAATCAATAAGTTTAATTAATACTACTACTAATTGGCACTTTAAGGGCAAGATAAACAATATTCAGATATATTAAAATAAATTCCTTAAATTGGAGTTTAGTGGTAGAGCACATGCTTTGGCACAAAAGGTCATGACTCCCTGCATGTGGAAACAGGGCTGCAAAAGATTGGCTGTGACTCTGGAGACGCTCTGCTGAATACTGTAATGAGCTAAATGACCAATGGTCCAACTCTGTATGACAGCTACCTTCCTAAACCGCTTCCTCTGAGGAAAGGCATCATTCCCAAACACTAGATCTTCACCTCATTTACAGCCAGGTTCTGTACATGAGCGTGGCCGGGGATGGGGGGTGAGGGACAGGAGAGGCAGCCCCCTAAATCAAGTAAAGAAAGAAAAACATTTAACTGACCAATTGCATCGCAGTTAACTCAGTTTCTCCCCACCCCAGCATAATACCTGCCCTCCCCTACAATAAATCCTGGCTGCGCCCATGGTTCTGTATACGTTAACTCAGAAATAAAACCCGGCTTTATTTGGTTACAATTTACAGTACAAAGAGGCAACAGCAGATTTGGGGGCGCGGGGTGAAGCCGCGGGCGTGCACAGACATCTTCCCTCCAAAAAACAGCTTGCCTCTCACCCCATTGCTGAGACCCTGGGGTGACCTGTAAGAAAGGCATTTTTTCCACAAACAAACGGGAAAATGGGGGTTTCACTTTTGAGTAGACATGAATGTGCAGGACTGCGCTGTCGCGGCGAAATCGGAAACAAGAAAACAAGCCTGAGCCCTAGGTTTGCTTAATGAAATATCAGCTCCCTCGAAATCAACAGCATTTTAATTTACGGCACGGATGGGAGTTTTAGTTTCCTTCAAAAATCTAGCATGAAATACACATTGCCCCTGAAGCGAACCTCCTTTTCTCTTCTTCCCCTCTGCCACCGCCTTCCCTATTTACTAGCCTCAGCTTTGCTAGCCTTGAGCCGCTAAAATCCTGCTTCCCAAAATTTAATCTTCGCGTTCTATGTCTGAGAAACTTTTAAAGGCGTTACAGACAACGCACAAGAGTGGGTTGCAGATACTAGCGTGTTGCTCACCGCCGGCATTTGTGCGCTTCCTTCCTTGGGGAGGCGTGGAAAGTTGCAAACGGAAAAAGCAGAAAGCGGAAAAAGAGCACGCGCGTGCCGGAGGGGAAAAGCGCGATGGGTGTTTTACTTTTTTAGTGCTGCCATCTAGCAGAGGAGGCCTCGACCTGCCTTCCTTTTGCCGAAAAAGCGAACTACCAGGAGATGGCGGTATTAGATCAGATTCACACGTTCTTTGTTTCACGGTGTTCTCACGTTGCTGCAGGAAAAAGTAGTGACAAATTAACGCGTTCCTTTCTAATTTGTCATTAGAATCTGTTGATAATTTCGGCCTTCTGAGGTACTGCTTTGGGGCAAAGGAGCTGCTGCTGCTTTTTTAATTTGTCTGTTGGTTGATTGATTGATTGATTAATCTGTTCTATGCAATGGAATGTGTATTGGTCTCCCCAAGTCAGTCTCATTATGATGTGTGCATGTTTCAGCGTTTCCGTGTGCTGCTCTGGTTCACCACATGACCACATGCTGGCCACATGACCCGGAAGCTGTAGGCCTGCTCCCTCGACCAATAAAGCGAGATGAGCGCCGCAACCCCAGAGTCATCCGCGACTGGACCTAACGGTCAGGGGTCCCTTTACCTTTATGTTTGGGTTCAGAGGCATCATTATCATTATCATTATTATATTTGTACCCCACCCATCTGACTGGGTTGCCCCAGCCACTCTGGGCGGCTTCCAGCATCTACAAAACCATAATAAAACATTAAAAACTTCCCTATACAGGGCTGCCTTTAGATGTATTTATTCTAAAGGTTGTCTAGTTACTCATCTCCTTGACATTTGATAGGAGGGTGTTCTGCAGGGTGGGCACCACTACTGAGAAGGCCCTCTGCCTGGTTCTCTGTAACTTCACTTCTCGCAGCAAGGGAACCACCAGAAGACTTTGAATGCCAATTCCTGATGACAACAGGAGTGCCTCTGTGCTCATGTCTAGTTTATGTGCTCTGTGGGAAAATTTGACTGGACAGAACTCAAGTCCAGCAGTGCTCTTCTTATGTTCTTTAGTTGTCTGCTGTATGTAGAGGAAGTTTTTGTACACAACAGCATACAGTCAGTTGGGACCTGTAATCTGAAGTGGTTTGGTCACAAATTTACCACTGCAAGGTCCAAGACTGGAGAATTAAGCAGATAAGGAATCAAACATATAAGTAAGTTTGGTATTGTCATGACTACCCACCAGATCTTTTCAGAAATTTATGTGGCAAGTTTTGAACAGGACAGAATACAGTATTGTGGAATCCAACAGAGAATGGGGGAAGGATTTGATTAGCAATCAGTTGTTCTCGGGAACATTCTAGAAAGGAAGAAGCAGAACCACATTGCCTGGCTGTTACCCTGCAGTTACTGCTGTCAATTTGCCAACATGTGATAGTCCACAATATCAAATATAGATAAAAGATCTGATAGGATGACTAGCATACTGTGCTCCATATCAGTTTCTATGCATGGATTATTCATACGGGTTACAGGCACATATTCACAATAGCATATTCAAATTTGAAGTGATAATTGCACGGGAGGTATCAAATAAACAGCCTTAAAATACTACAGTATGTAATGAAGCATTGCTGTCTTGTCAAGACAAACAAATAAAAATCCTAAACACTATTGATTATTTTTTCCTGTTGCATGAAGCATTGCTCTTTTGCCACACTCCATATGATGCTTTAGTTGTTCCTGATTAGCTGCAAGAAATACAATCAACAGCAAGATGATCCAGACTAATATTCGGATTTTAGCCCTTTCCCATACTCACCCATCCCTGAAGCCTCAGCATGGCCAACAACTAGAAGCAGCTAATAATGCAACTGTTAGGATTTTAATCAATAAAAAAGACAGCACTAAATAACCACAGTCATCCCTAGGCAAATAATTCTTACTCAGACATAAATATCACCTGCTTCTGTTTTCTTCGTAGAAGATATTCAGACTACTTTTTCGGACCTTCGGATAATATTCAAGGATGAGGAGTAAACAGAGGGCAAGATATAGACTTGGGCACTTGGACCCTTAGATTTGTTTTTCTTAGTCATCATTTCCATGCTGCAAGATAAACAGCTTTGAAAGCTGAGGTTTAGCTTCAAAAGGGTCAAAGGGAAAAAGTAAAAAAATGTGACTGAGCTAATGCATAGCCCTTGCATGAGCCTAAGCTTCTCTATTGAGCCAGGCCAAAATTCCAAACTACCTGTGATAACAGAGCCATACATATTACTGAATATCTTATGTTTAATGTTTTGTACATGATTGGAAATATATTAGCTAGGGAAGCAGGGTCAGCTAATTAATTACCAACTGCAGCCTTTCTTCAAGTGTATATCGTCTTTGATATATTACACTTGCAAAATAAATAATTCATCTCACAAACTTTCTCAGTTGTAGGAAGCCTTAATCTTCTTTCCAGTTAAAGTGCTGGTACCAGCTGAACAGCAAAACTACAGCATTATTGAATGTTTAATTAAAAGATAAGGCACAATCAAATATGTCCAAAAAAAGATATGTAGAGCTTACGATCTGTCAAACTATAAGCTGCACAACTCTAGGATCCAGGGCACAAAGGGACTTTTCTTCAGGGGGTATGTATTATTGCAATATTACAAGACACCTATGCTTCATGCTTTATTTATAAGTGATTATCTTGATCTCTTTACAACAGGAGTGTGATGTGATGATATGTTGGTTGCTTAGGAAACAAGACAGCGTGTGAATTGTGCATGCATGTATAAACTTGTTTATATGTGGCTATAAATGTGCATATGAGTGCATGTAGCATACATACTTGTGAGTGTGCATTTATTTGTATGAATTTTTCAGTGAGTTTCTCATTTACTTGTCATCTGATACATATTGCAGCATCTTGTAAATAAAAGGTTCCTTAGAATAATACTAGTTTTGATTTACAGAGCAATATAAAATGTTCAATGACAATCAAATAACCAGAGGACAAGAGCAGTTTCCATTGTATAACATGAGCTGCCTAATATTCAGAGGTGTAATAATGTTTTAAAGGGCCTTCCCCAAACAATCATGTTATGTTTTTAATCTGAATAGTGCATTCAGAAAGATAGTGCAATCAGAATACACAGATAAAACCAAGTACTAACTATTCAAGACTGCAGTCTTGATTATTATTTTTGGTACCTTCTTCTCCGTTTTCTACTTTATTTCCTCAAAGCACCCTTTTATGAGATTAAACATGAACAATTCTGTCTTGTTTCATTAAAATCTCAGTCTCCCCTCCTAGCCATTTAGTTCTCGTTCCCAATCTATAAAGTCTTTTTGTTCCTCTTGCAGCAGAATCTGCAATACAATACTCCCGTCAAGCGTAGGAATAAATAGTGCTGAAGAACAGAACTGAAGGATATATTGGAAACTGAAGGCAACACTGGAAATTTGGTACAAACTAAAGAGTCATAGCTAATGACAGCATTGTAGCTGAATGCACCTTCCATGATTTGCATGAACAAAACTGGAATGTATATGCCTTGATCAGTGAAAGACCAGTCAGTGAATGGTTATGAAGGGTGGCCAATACAAAAGAAAGGGCTCCTGTCTCTTTAATAGTTGAGTGGGAGAGGGAATTTCAGCTTGCCATGCCCTGTCTTCTTTTGCATCTAATAATACCCTGTGCTGCACCTTGCGATAGAAGAGGTGCTTTGGGCCATCTTTTTTGGTTCTTCTAAAAGAGAACCTAATACTGCTGTTGCATTTTCAAGATAATCCATACAACTGTGACTAACAGGAAGGCAGTTCTTTGTTTGCTTGTTTAATTAGAGCTCCCAAGTCTCTGGATTTTAATCACAAGTCCAGATGAAAGGCTTATAAAAGTTCGTCAAAGGCTGCATGCATTCCGCGGGTTCCGTGTTGCTGAGTCGACACCTGGTATAGCTTAAGGATGAGACTGTCTGTCTGTTCGCTTAAGCAGAATATTTAAGGTCAGTAAGGCAAACACACTCTGTATTTCAGCAGACGCATATGCTCCCCCACCAGAATCTTTTTGCCCTATTAACCCCATTTTGGAGCACAATTCTTCTTCGCCACACATAGTGTATACTACCTAAAGGCATTCCTTGTTGCTCCCATGGCAACAGATAAGACCACAGCATACTGCAATACTCAGATGCAAAGCTATGCTTGGCTCTGTTGCGGGATGAATTACAGAGGATAGTTCAGCAAAACAGGGAAAGAACTCATGTAATAAACTGTGGTGAGTGCATAAGAATAAACTATTCCCCACCTCACCCCCACAATGTTAATAGCAACACTTTATACTTATTTTTAATATATTATCTGACAGCTGGACATTGAAATCACTATCCACTATCTTACAAAGGCAAGATGAAAAACGCCTACTGCCTTTAATGGAAATAGGAGTAGACCCTGATCAAATAACGCCTCAGGCACAGACACTCTGCAAATATAGGTATCTCTTTCATTTTCACATTGCTTCAAATATTTTATTCACAGATCTCTTTGCAATTTTTCTTCCTTACAGGCTTTAATCCCATTGATAGGTCACAAGGGTAAAGATGCATATCCTGGAGATAAAAGTCTTGTTTCTTTCTGTCCAGCACACTTAAGGCTGAAGAACCATATTTAAAATCTTAGAGTTGTAGATACCTACAAGATACCTGCACATTTTCATTCTTGTGTTTGATATTATCACTTATAGTTTGTTTTGGTTTTGCCATTTATGAGATCAAGTGACAATGTGAACCAAGTATAATGTTAACACTGACTGAATACATATTCTAACATAACTCTGTGTGTGTGTGTGTGTGTGTGTAACTCTGGCCGAGATGCATGCCACCAATGTGAAACAGAAATGGATTACTCTGTTGTCCTTGTGGGCACAACTGTGTGATACAATTTCAGCAAGAAAAATAAATATGTGAAATAGGCCTTTAGGGGAAATTAACATTAATGAAAATTAATTTGTCAGAACAGATGGCCAATGAAGCCACGGTATCAGGATGATCAGAAGGCAGGGAAATTTGCTACTCCTTAATGGAGTCTGGTGCTATGAAGTGTTTCTTGTTGCCTTATTCCACATCTATCATTGCTATGCAATCCATAGCTATCATAGCCTTAGATATTCATGACATGTGAAAATGCACATGGCCTCATTTGCAGCATCACTAACTCCTTTCTCACAAAAAAATCTGCCGACAACAGCATTATCCTTGAAGGTATTTCCTGATCTGTAGATGTAATTGACTCAGACTTAATTCCCTAGCTATCCTCCTGTGCTCTCTAGAAGGATCACACTTCTTATGTGATACTAGGAGCTAACTATTTTCAAAGTCAGTATAATTAAGTAAATATATTATGAAACAATCCAGTTTTTTAAATGCCTTTGTCCTTTCTAACCTATCATAGGAAATCAAATGAAAATATTTTGAGAGAAGGCATTTCATGTTATACCTTTGTAACCCAACATTATTCCTTAAAACAAACTAAAAGTGTGCCAAGCAACAATAACTTAATATAATTAGTAATCGGGTGGTTTAAGAGGACTTGCTTCAGAATACGGTTGATGGCAGCCATGGGTAAAGTGTTGCACGTGAGCCCCATCATATATAAATTCATGTATTGAATGAACCAACTCATTTGTATGCCATAAGCCCACCTGCTTAGGCAATTGGTTAATAGTATGCTAACTGTACTCATGAACGGGGTCACTCACATGAGGCATGATGGTGAGTGAATGAGTGAACAGCAGGCACCAGCTAGAGAGAGCAAGTGAACAGGTGAGCACTCACTGAATGAGTGACCGGACAGGTGCCTTTATATCTACGTATCTTTTCCTCTTTCCCACTTAAGCCTTGGTTCATGTTGTGCTAAGAAAATGATGGCTTAGTTTACAGTTCTGCTGGGCAGCTCTACATCAGTATCAGGGGAAGGGCAATTTTTGCTCTGGAATGCCCACATGCTTGTTGTTCTTGCCAAATCATAGCTTAGCAAACTATGCCAAACCATGGGCAACTCTGGTCAGCAAGTGGTCTACAGCCACAGAATTAATAATAATAATAATAATAATAATAATAATAATAATTTTTATTTATATCCCGCCCTCCCCAGCTGAAGCCAGGCTCAGGGCAGCTAACAATAAAATAATACAACATTCTAAAATCATTTCATTATAAAATTAATTCAAATCAAATTGATGGCAACCATTGGGCTAGAGTTCTGTGAAGATTGCCAAAGGAGGGAGTCAGGCTGTGCCCTAGCCAAAGGCCTGGTGGAACAGCTCTGTCTTGCAGGCCCTGTGGAAAGATGTCAAGTCCCGCAGGGCCCTAGTCTCTTGTGACAGAACGTTCCACCAGATCGGAGCCACAGCTGAAAAAGCCCTGGCTCTAGTTGAGGCCAGCCTAACCTCTCTGGGGCCTGGGACCTTCAAGATGTTTTTGTTTGAAGACCGTAAGTTCCTCTGTGGGACATACCAGGAGAGGCGGTCCCGTAGATACGAGGGTCCTAGGCTGTATAGGGCTTTAAAGGTTAAAACCAGCACCTTAAACCTGATCCTGTACTCCACCGGGAGCCAGTGCAGCTGGTATAGCACTGGATGAATGTGATCTCGCAGCGAGGACCCCATAAGTAGTCTCGCCGTGGCATTCTGCACCTGCTGGAGTTTCTGGGTCAGTCTCAAGGGCAGCCCCACATAGAGCAAGTCACCTCCAGACCATCGCGTGGATCACAGTGGCTAGGTCAGGGCGAGAGAGGTAAGGGGCCAACTGCTTAGCTTGGCGGAGATGAAAAAATGCCGCCTTTGTTATAGCT